GCTTCGGTCATGATACCAGGGTCCTGGAACGGAGCCCTGCTTTGGGCTTCCTGCTCCACAGGGAAACTTTTCCCCCTCCCTCTCCCTGCCACTCCCCCTGCTTGTGCTCTCTTTCTGTCAAATAAATAAAATCTTTAAGAAACAAACAAACAAAGACTACATTCCTTGAAAAGCCCCTGAAATGAGAGTAAAGGAAGAGGAGAGAAAGTACTCACCAAGTCTGCACTGAGGTTCAGAGTCCAGGTGAAAAGACTCAAAGCCCCATATTGGGCACCATATGGTATAGGAAAGACAGTAGGGTTCAAAGGCGATGGCCAAGAATTTTTGAGACATCTTTGGTACCTTGGGTGGTCCATCACCTTGTACCCTAAGGCTCGGCTAATTGTTGTCCCAGTGTTGTGTGGTTTTGCAGGAAGAGCTGACAGGCCTGCCTGTCCCTGTTCTCCAATTTAGATTCTCATAGGCATCTCTTGACAAATTCGGCAGGAAATTTCTATGCAATAAAATACATGTCCAAAATGAGAAAAAAAAAAAGGTACAGTTCAGCAAGCCCCCCCTCTCCCTTTTAAGGCAGGGTCAGGGCACTTGAGGAGTTGCACTGGGGTCATGAGGAGGGGCCCATTGTATACTTTCAAGTTTGGAGGGGTTAGGGATGGTGTAAGTCTCTAAGGAATTTTGGAAGCAAGGTTTCCAGGACCCTGAGGGAGCCAGCTATTGTTGGGAAAAGATCATTTATTACTGTCTAGTAAAACCTGAGTCATGAGACCCGTCAGATGCATATTGGGGGGTCCTATACTTAGGGGATGATCGCCAACATGTATCTTGGGGGTGGGCGGGTAGAGATAAAGGAAGCTTCCAAAGGAATATCTATATGTTAAAGTAGACCTACAGGATCCTGAGGGTTGAGCTAAGATTGCCTTTTGCCCTGAGCAAAGTATTAACACTGGGGCAACTGAGTCCCTAGAGGAATGTCACTCTGCCTGTTTCAAGGACTTGTCAATGGGCTGTAAGTAGTGAGGAAATTCAACAATTTTATTCTCACTCAACTTGGCCAATCTAATGAGTCTCTGTCACTCTAAGAATTTTCCTGGCCTCATCCTCTCTTGGACAACCATCATCCTGAGACCAGGGTCATGTTAATTGCATTCCAGCAACAGTCCAGCTGGTGGAAATACATAATGTCTACCTGCTGAATATGTACCTTGGTCCCCAAACTTATTAACAGGACCTACTAACCTGAAATTCTTATTTTGGAATTTATTAATATCTTTATATTATATCACCATTTCTACATTGTATCAAGTATAGTTTACAAAGCTTAGTCAAATGTCGGGAACCTAAACATCTGACATTTGAATGAGTTTGGTAATTTGGCTAACAATGACATTTTCCCCTTAATTGCATGGGGAAAAAAAGGGTAATGCATCTCACTTGGCTCCCAGAGAATCGATCTAAAATATACTGAGATTCCAAAAATGAACATTAAATACAAGACACAGAATCAATCTTCAAAGACGGAAGAAACATTCTTTGGCAAAAGGTGGGAAGCTAATTATAGAAATAGAGAACATAGAGTACCATCATAAGCAGAAATAACACAAAACCTTTGCCTTCTGAAAAATGTCTAAAACACAACAAAAGGAAAGGCATTTAGAAGTTCCTAAATAGGAAAAGAGGACCACACGAGAGGAATACAGATAATGTAGCCCATGGAATTCCATTGAAAAAATAAAAACTACCCAATGGCCACCAAGAAACAAAGTATATTTGATTATATATATATATATATACTCTATGTAAAGACAACAGAGGGACATTTTTAGATCTTTAAAACTTATTTGACATTTCTGAGTGCCTTTGATGTGGCAAGCACTATGTATGCTAAATGCCATATGTATAGTAGGGAATAAGTAGACATGTGCCTGCATTTTAAAAATCCTTTCCCCACATACCTTGCTTGCAATAATAATTATAGAGCATATGTCAAATATTGAGCTTTAATCTATGAAGAAAGTGTTGAAAGAGGATGTTGTCTATTTATCACAAGTAATAACCAGTAACGTCAGTACCCATGTGCCTTACAAATGAGGACTGGATAGTTCCCCAACTAGCTCCTGGGGGTTTGTTTGAACAAAGAAGAGAAAATCTTTCTATCTCAGTAAGAGCCCATCATAACCAGGAACGTTGCACATTTGGCACCAAGACCATGGCTTGGAACCTCCTGTGTACCTTGCATCAGTGGATCAAGTGAGGACAAATCATTTATCAAATATGGGAAAGATAAAAGGTAAACATCAGAGATGAAAAGGCAGTGAAGATGATCACCAGATGGCTCTTCTAGCTCAATAAGTAAAACCAAAGTCACAGAGGGCTATAACCAAGAATTAGCTAAACTATGACAATCTATTTACTTGCAGTTCAGAACAGCTCCGCTAACTTCTGCTGAAGATACTTCAGTAATATCACTTCACCTCTGCAAGAAAGTAGAGGACTAAGGAGAAGAGCTGACTGGTGTTTACTTCAGACCAAAAGAAAAGACACGGCCCACTCCAGCTCCAAGAAAGAGGTGGAGGGGGAGAGGGAGGGGAAGGCAAGAGGGGAGGGGAGAGAAAGGAGGGAAGGAAGAGAGGGGAGATTGGCTTCCTAAAGGCACAGCTATAGTAACAGCTCAGAGGCAACATTCTGAAAGGATGGGTACCCCTCTTCAGGATCTCGTGTATTTATTAAACCAGAGACTTCCAGGTTATACTGTGGCCTCAACAGGAGGAATTCATGGTTTCAGCAACCAGAAAGCAGAAGCAGGAGTGGCTCCACTTAACAACACGCCCACTGACCCACTGGGAAATTTTGCACGTTCATGTCTGTAACTCTGAGCTCTGCAGGGCCAAAGGTCCAGGTACCCAAAGTGGAGGCACTCCCGCCAAGGGACACATTGAAGTTCTCATTCAACTACATACGACAGCTGCTGCCAGGACACTTTGGATTTCTTGGGTCCAGGGACCAGCAGATAAGAAGCGGCATCGCCAGGAGTGCCTGGCTGGCTCGGCCAGTAGAGCATGAGATCTCAGGGCTGCGAGTTTGAGCGCCATGTTGGATGTAGAGATCATTTAAAAATAAAATCTTAAAAAAAAAAGAGGAGTTACCAGACTGTCAGGGTGAAATAGTCCTGCTTAGCAGGAGGAAGGAGATAGGGCTGCTTTTACACAGTGGGGATAGACAGGAATGCATGTAGAGCCCAACTGATCTATTTGGGTGCTTCCTAGAATTCCCAAGCTCCATCGTAACTGCGAGTATGGATGTTTACCAATCTCAGCCAGAGAGAGATAGGACTATCAAGGGTTTGGACCCCTCAGGAATGAATGTTTGGGTCATAATACCAGGTCAGCCACTAAGACCTGAGAACATGATGGGGGGGGGGTGAGGGGAAATTAGAATGGATATTAAAGGAGAGAGTGGATGGGGGCCAGTAGCAGCCCTGAGATCAACTGCAGTGACGGTACCTATAATTTGCCCCACTAACCTCCTTCTTCTACGTTTCTCTTCAGGAACAGAGGCCTGTATGAGGTTTAAAGGAATTGTCCCTTGAACCCATGTGGAGAAGCAGATATTGGCTCTAGGCTCTAGGCAGCTACGAAAATACTCCTTAGATCTCCTGCTGTGGTGATCATAAATTGACATTGGGCCTATGGTTCCTAGTTAACTTGGTCATTTGCATTCAAACGCCAACAATCTCCAGTAGAGCACCTGGTTAAAGGTAAAGATCCAGTGGTGCCTGGGTGGCTCAGTGGTTGAGCATCTGCCTTTGGCCCAGGTCCTGATCCCAAGATTCCAGAATCGAGTCCCGCATCAGGTTCCCCGCAGGGAGCCTGCTTCTCCCTCTGCCTGTGTCTCTGCCTCTCTCTGTGTCTCTCATGAATAAATAAGTTAAAACTTTAAAATAATAATAATAATAAAGGTGAAGCTCAGACTTAGATTGCCCAGGTTCATTTTTTTAAAAGATTTTATTTATTTATTTATTTATTTATTTATTTATTTATTTATTGAGCATGGAGCGGGGAGGGAGAGAATCTCAAGCCAACCCAGGCGCTGAGCCCGAAGCGCAATCTCCCAGCCCCCTGGGATGGTGACCTGAGCTGAAATCGAGTCTGTCCATCAAATGACTGAGCCACCCAGGCATCCCTAACCTGCCCAGGTTTAAATCTAATCGTCATCTAACAAGCTCTGCGATCCTGGGCGTGACCTCCAACCGTTTACTCCCTTTCTCCGTCTCCGGGACACCTCACCACGTGGATGCGCTTCCTGCAGCATCAGGCACCTAACCTTCTGCGCGTTACCTACTCGTCCAAGCGCACAGCGTACTATGTGGAATAACATGGGGGAAAGAAAAAAAAGAAAAAATCTATGGACTATCATTTTGTTATCTTGGGGGGGGCCTCCATTTGCTTTTTCTTATCTTTCCCTAGCTGCATTCGCCGTTCGCACACAGGAGGGGGACCCCAAGACTTCGGAGTCTTCCAGAGAGAAAGGCTAGGAACACAGGTGCAGTGTTTCCCTGTGTCCGGCGCGGCTCCGGGGCGCCCAGGAAGGGGCTGTTCCCCGCCCGCCCATCCGCCCCCCCGGACTTCGGGACGCGAGCCTCGGGGCTCCGCGCCCACCCGGGTTCCAGCTGCTCTCGGGGCAGCGGGGCCCGACCCCACCCCCGGCCCCGCCTTCTACACTGGCCCCGCCTCCTGCCCCGCCCTCTGCCCGCCAGCCCCGCGCCCACCCCGCTTCCAGCAGCTCTCGGGGCAGCGGGGCCGGACCCCGCCCCCGGACACGCCTCCGGCCCCGCCCCCTGCTCGCCCGGCCCCGCCCTCTATCCTGGCCCCGCCTCCGGTCCCGCCCTCTGCCCGCCAGGCCCCACCCCCAACCGAGCGCAGATCCCCCTCCGAGGTGATTTACATACCGACCGTTTATTGGCCACCAAAAGCACTCGCTCTTCTCATTGGCTGACGCTGTTTCGCGGTCACAGGTGTCGTCATTTCCGCTTCCGGCTCGCCTCCGGCACCATGGCGACCGCGCGGGGACTGCGGCCGCTGCTGACGCTGAGCCGGTGTCGCCGCGGGCGCGGAGGAGCCCCCGGAGCCTCCGGGTCCCGAGTGAGTGCCCGCTCCCCGCGCCGGAGGGACCCCGGGACTCAGGAACGGCGGCGCTGCCGCGGGTGGGCGCTCCCGGCCGCGGTCAGCGTCTCCGTCCCGCCCGCAGGCGCTCGCGGGGGTCGTGCCGGGCGCGTTGCAGGTGGACAACAGCTCCGGCTTCCTGGGGCGCAGGCCGCACCGCCGGCACCCCGGCATCCTGCAGCTGCCGTGCGTGCGGGTGCCGCCCGTGCTGGCCGCCGCGGCGCGGGCCCTGCTGCTTGGTGAGTGGCGGGGCGGGGCGGGGCGAGCCCCGAGGCGGAGCGGGGGACGGGAGCCGGCGGCACGCGGCTGACGGCGCTGCATCCCCGGCCCGCAGAGAGCTCGCTGCCCGGCGTGGAGGCGCAGGTGCCGGCGCTGCGCAACTACCTGTGGAGCCGCCGTGTGCCCGTTGAGCCGGAGGAGCTGCAGAGGCGTGCGCGGCGCCTGGAGGAGCGGCTGCTGGAGGACGCAGGTGGGGCCTGCAGGAGAGTCGGCCGCACGGAGGGCCCGCGTCCCGCGGAAGGGGGTCCTCCGCTGCCCTTGCCTCTCCCGGGCGCCCTGGGTCGGGACGGCCTACGTTTGTGTTCCGGGGACGCGGCTCCCTAGCGGGCCCGGAGGCCAGGCAGGGCTCAGCGAGCCGCTCTCACGACCGTGAGCTTCTCCATCTCACACACCTGCCTTTATGCATCCCGTGCTCCCCGCTCTCCCCTCACCCGGTGCAGCGTAGGCGCCGAGGGGTCACGGCCCGCAGACCCAGGCCATCCTGAGCCCCAAGACTTCCAGGCCCCGCTTTCTTCCCTCTCGGAACGTCGGAGACGCCACAGCCCAGAGAAAATCCACAGAATACCGTGCTTACGCGATGCTCTTCAATCTTCGAGACGCTTCCCTTTATTTTTTTTTTTAAGATTTTATTTATTTATTCATGAGAGACACAGGCAGAGGAAGAAGCAGGCTCCACGCAGGGAGCTGGATGCAGGACTCGATCCCGGGACTCCAGGATCACACCCTGGACCAAAGACAGGTGCTAAACCGCTGAGCCACCCAGGGATTCCCAACACTTCCCTTTAAAGAGCGCAAAGTCGGGGATCCCCGGGTGGCCCAGCGGTTTAGCACCTGTCTTTGGTCCAGGGCGTGATCCTGGAGTCCCAGGATCGAGTCCTGCATCCAGCTGCCTGCATGGAGCCTGCATCTCCCTCTGCCTGTGTCTCTGCCTCTCTCTCTCTCTGTCATGAATAAATAAATAAAATCTATAAAAAATAAAAGAGCAACAACAAAAAAATAAATAAATAAATAAAAGAGCACAAAACCTGTGGGGTGGGGTTGGTATTGATGAACGAGCTGCCGTTAGACGCAGGCTACCGTCTGATTCGCCGTGGCGGTGATGGTGCTCACGGTGACTCCTACCTGAGATTTTTTTTTCCCCCTAAGTTGGGCTTCTCGTGAGCTTTGAGGTTTTGCCCAGGATGGGAGCTGCAGAGGACGTGGGCAGGCCGATCTTCAGCTGTTGGATCTGAGCCCTGTGCGTCCCCAGTCCCCACCATGGATTCTTGTTCTCACCCTAGACGTCCCCCCGGCAGAGGAGAGGCTTCGCCAAGCCGTGCTGCAAACCCTGCGCAGAACTACCTACCATTGGCAAGAACTGACGTAAGGCAGACTAGAAAGGCTACAGAAGGGGAAAGAAATCTTGTCTTTAGCTGGAGACTGGGGTGGCACAGAGACACAGTCCGCGTCTGGGAGGCCTGCCCGGTGTGTAGCTCAGGACCCCTCCCTTCCAAGGAGTGAGAGTACTCAGCCCCGGGAGTAAAAGTTCTCCCCTCTCTAGAGATTTCATGCCTGTGGGATGGGCGTTATTCCCTGGTGGCTGTGACTCTCTGGTTTTTCTGGCAGCTACAATGAGAGACTGAGCCTGGTGTATATGGCGGCAAGACTGGATGGTGGCTTTGCAGCAGTCTCCAGGGCATTCCATGAGGTGAAAGCCCCTCAGCTTCCAACCCTTAACCATCGCTTCCTTTATGCATAAAGTGGTCTCCTGGGGTATGATTCTAGGGACATTGCATGCACTTTATTTATTTATTTATCTATTTACTTATTTATTTATTTAAGCAGCTATGATTCTAGGGACATTGCATGCACTTTATTTATTTATTTATTTTTTATTTATGCAGCTCTGTTTATCCTCTGAAAGGATTTTGTGATCTAAGAAAGGTCTAAAAATCACTGTTTCAGGAGGTTCCCATTGTATAAAGTGTTTCCATTGACTCTCCACAAACATTCACATCTCATCTGGCCTGCCATGCTCCCCTGATGCAGAGGGGCCCTAGAGAGGCATCCGCTGACTCTGCTGTGGGATATTGTGTATTTCTGCAGATCCGGACTCGAGTTCCCGAGTTCCAGCCCCAAACCCTAATGGACTTTGGCTCGGGTACCGGCTCTGTCACTTGGTAAGTCTCTTTCAGTCTGTCAGTTCTAGCTCTAGAGAGCCTGTGTACGACACCCCAAGACACTGGGAGACCAGATGGGGAGAATAGGAGAGAGTAGGGAACTAGAATGTTTAGTCCCTGGGATCGGGTAAGACGTAAGAGGGTATGTGGAACTTAAAGGAACTTCTGATGAGCAAAAGACCCATGTTTAGGAAGATAAAAAAGAAACGGAATTTAGTCCAGGGCATATCACCAAGATGGTTTTTTTGTTTGGTTTTTTGTTTGGTTTTTTGTCTACAGATAGTTTTTTGAGTCTGCCCTTTTTTTAAGGAGTCCTAAATGAAATAAAAAACTGCTTTAAACTAACACTCTGTTTCCCAGGGGTGGGGTTGGGGGCAGAGGGCTCTCGTAGGGATGACACTGTCGCGAGAAATGGTGATTCACATTTTGCCACTTCAGGGCCGCTCACAGTGCTTGGGGCCAGAGCCTCCGTGAGTATATGTGTGTGGACAGCTCAGCTGCTATGTTGGATTTGGCAGAAAAGCTACTGAGAGGTGAGGACAAAGGATAAGGAAGGGCTCTTGTGAAGCTGGAGGAGTTGAGCAGGAACTGGAAAGGGTGTTTTACCGGGGAGTGGAGGGGGGCTAAAAGCTGAAGAGGCGTCTGATTTCTTGCGAGCTCACAGCTGAGCAGAGGGTGGTGGAGGCCTTTGCTGGGCCGTGGATGGGTCGGCCCTTTTGCATCTCGCCCTTCCCTAGTGGTGTCCTTCATCCTTCGGGGCGTGTTTCTTGCCGAGACTTCATTTTATACCTATGCACTCACCGCTGCCACGCCTCTGCTTCACTCCACAGGTGGCTCAGGGTCCGGGGAGCCTCACGTTCCAGGTGTCTTCTTCAGGCAGTTTCTCCCTGTGTCACCCAAGGCAAGTGACAACCTTCAGAGAATCTTAAATGTGGAATTTGGCAGATGGAAAACTGTGACTTCAGTTTTGCAACCCAGCCTGGACTGTTAGAAGATAGAAGAGAACAAATACGAGGGGAGGGAAGTTTGTGACGCTCCCGGAAGGGCCGGGCCGGGGGAGTGTCAGGTCCATCATGCGCTGCGTCTGGGTTCTCAGGTCCAGTTCGATGTGGTGGTGTCGGCCTTCTCCCTAAGTGAACTGCCCAGCAAGGCTCACCGCACTGAGACCATCCAGACCCTGTGGCGCAAGACAGGTCACTTTCTGGTGAGTTGAAATCCCTCTGCCCTTCAAGTTGTAAAGCAGCCTCACGGGTCTCACGCGTTTCCTTCTCTCTTGTCTCCGTTGGAACTTGACCGTTGTTCTCAAGCGTAGGTGCCTTCGTTCCCCTTTTAGGCTCTGCAGCCCCACCTGCTGTGGGGACGGCCCTTTCCTTTAGGGCCCTCGACTCCCTCGGCGAAGTTCCCACGGAGCTGCTAGCATTTGTGTCCTCGTGTAATTCAGGGCTTATGCTTATTCTCCTTTTTGGTGAGCAGATATTGGTAGAGAATGGAACAAAAGCTGGCCACTGCCTTCTCATGGATGCCAGGGACCTGGTCCTCAAGGTAGGATTCTTTCTCCTTTCACTCCTGCGCCACCATCTCGCCAGTTAGCCCTACTCCCTTGCGAGTCGAAGAGCCTCACTGCTCAGAGTCCTGCAGTGGTGGGGTAACGCTCAGGGTGTTAGCACGCACACTCCTTACGGTGCAGGGGGGTGACTAGCCAACCAGGGCCTGTGGGCACATCTGGCCTCTCACCCATCTTTGTATGTGCCATGTGGCCTGCGAAGAGTGGAGTTGACAAGTCAGCGCAGAAACTGGTTTTGTCTACTCCCTGGGCCTTTAAAAAAAAAGTGCACAGACCCCTGACTCAGGGCATTGCTAAGCCAAGAACCTTATCTTCTGGGGATGGTGTGAGCCAGTGGATGATCGTGAATTGAATTGTCCTGCAGTGGGACCTTTCTACAAGTAGAGGTTGCTGACAAGGGAGAGCACCACGCTACGTGCCAAGTCCCTGCTTTACTCCTCCTGCAAAGAAAAAGTCCTTTGTTTGGAGTATTAGGGAAGCAGCCAGCTTAACTCAAGGAGCCTAGTTAGTCATTATCAGAATTGAACGTTAAAGGAGGCCTCGTTAAAGGAGGCCTCGGTTTACTGAGTGCAGACGCAGAGTTACAAGAATACACCCCTTAGACCCAGCCTGATTTTTTTGATTTCAGGGGAAGGAGAAGTCACCTCTGGACCCTCGACCTGGCTTTGTCTTTGCCCCGGTGAGTGTTGTCTCTGCTGTTCCGTCACGCAAAGACCTGAACTCCGCTGTGGCCAGGAAGAGTGAGAGGGTGAAGCTGAGCCAGTCTCTGCTGTCTTGTGTCCCCGTCCAGTCTTGGTCTTGGTTGTTCCCCGCTCTCCCTGCTCCTGGCTCCTGTGCCCCCATCTCCCTCACCCTGCTTAACTCTGCCACTCTGAGTTTTCCGTTGTATGATTCTCTGGTTCTTTTCCGTGTTTGCAGTGTCCACATGAACTTCCTTGTCCCCAGTTGGCAGCCTCTAAACCTCTGGCCTGTAGCTTTTCTCAGGCTTACCACTGCATCCCCTTCAGCTGGGTACGTATCCGGAGATCCTTACAGCAGAGAGAAAATAGTCTGAGGGGGCAGATGATAAAGAGTACGAGGCGGGCAGAGCTGGGGAAGTCAGCGAAGAGCCTGGAGGTTTGGGGGCCTGGGTGTGCATGGCTTACAGAGTATGAAAAGGGCTGCAGGGACTCGGGGAGGGGGGGTCATGATTTTCTTTCCCATCTCTTTTCCCTTCAAATCGTCTCTATATCCTTATCTCAGAACAAAAAGAAGCAAAAAGAGGAGAAGTTCTCGATGGTAATTCTTGCCCGGGGGCGTCCAGAGGAAGCTCCTCGCTGGCCACGTCTCACTCAGCCTGTCCTTAAACGGCCACGCCACGTGCACTGTCACCTGTGCTGTCCAGATGGGCACATGCAGCACGCTGTGATCACAGCCCGCCAGCATGGCAGGTACCAAGGCTGTGACCAAAGTTGGGGACAGCTGGCAGGACCCTGCAGCCCACGCTGACCTCTCTTTCCCATAGGGATTTGTATCGCTGTGCTCGCGTCAGCTCCTGGGGAGATCTTCTACCCATGATCACACCATCAGAGTCGGAGCTGCCCCCGTCCCCCGCTGAAGACCCCCTGAGGGTCGACAGGGATGCGTAACAAGTGTTTTCTTCCTTAGACCTGCCAAGGCTGAAGCTACCTGGCATCCAGGGTGGGAGCGCTGGTAGCCCTGTGTGTCCTCGCTTTAGAGGTTTTAATAATAATAAAGTTTTCAAAGCGTAGAAATGGATCTCATGATTCTTAAAAGGTCCGGGCCCAGTCGTCACGTCCTATCCTATGACAGGTGTTCAGTGCCCACGCTCCCACACAGACCCCAAGCCCACCTTCTCCAGTAAGAGTGCCGCTGCCTCTACCAGAGACCAGGACTCCCGTGGAAGTGGTGGGGCTGGTAGGGAAAGCTGCCCCCAGTCTCCGGGCACCAGCCCAGTGGGCTTCAGGTTGTTAGGGGGCCACTAAGAAGGGGAGCCAGGCTGCCCAGCCTGTGGTTTCTTCCCTTTTCCTTCTATCTTTCTCAGGGTTCGTCAGCTCCCCAGCCCATTTTCCTCAAGAGCTGATCGCCAAGGAGCCTGAGTTTTCCATCTCTACCCCCATAGATCCAGGCAGGACCCTTCGGTTTGCTTGGGTCGTCTCTCAGTTTTTCACTCAGCCTCACTGTTTCAGGGCTAGAGCAGCTTTCTTCGCCCTAAAATCTCAGCCTCTCTCCCCCAGGACACGGTCCCGACCTATCATGGCTTGATTTTCAAACTTTTCAACCTTAAGATGAGATGAAAGTGAGGCGCATCCAGTAGAACCCAGTCCTTTATCGGCTTGGCAGTCGGGTACAGTGGTCTCTGGTGATGCTGCGCAGCTACGGCTCCCAGGCGGCAGTGCCAGGAGGGCTGGTACACTCAGCCACTCTGCTTCTCATGTCCCGTACGGCGTGTGGCAAAGTGCGTGGACTTCAGCACTTTATTACAGAATAGACTTGGGTTAGATGATCTTGCCCAACTGCGGGCTTGGCATCCGGGTGTCCTGAGCACACTGGAGGCTGCTCTCGGCTCCGATCGGCCGCTTCGGTGCGTTGAATGCACTGCAGCTTAGGGTGGGTCCATCGGGACGTCGTCCCATCGTGAGCCGGGGAAGCTCTACGTGTATCTGAAAACCGGCCCGGTCAAAAGCTGGAACAGCATTAATACTGTAATGCTGGAGATTCCACTCCCCACACACACCTGGAAATCGCCATGCCTGGAGCTGTATTTCTGAGGTTACAGGAGAGGGGAGTCCCCTCCGTAGAGTCCCCACAGCGTGGCGGGCCGCACCTTTCAGCCCCACCTCCTTACCTGAAGGTGGCCTCAAATCCCCTCTGAAAAGGTAGGGTTCGGATATCAGCACAAGACCCACGAGACCTGCGGACGTGGGCGGGGTGGAAGGGGCACGGAGGCCTGAGATCTGACGCCCTGAATGAGGCGCGCCCAGGGGTATGGGAAGGACCCACCCTAGACTCCCACCTGGCGTTGGAGCAGTCCCAGGCGTGAAGTAAGAGTGTCCACGGCCTTGGGATTAGTCATGGCCCCAAGAGAAGACACAGCGCAGGCTGTGCCTGGCAGGGAGTCCGGAGTTTCTGGTTTCCCGTTCTGGAAGCCGGGGGAGGGGCCTCCCTGTAGGGGGAGGGCGGGAATCTGGGGCAGGGCCCCAGGCAGCTATGCAGGCTGTGCAAGCAGAGGCAGCGCAACAGGGGAGGATCCCAGCAGCCTCCTGGACTCGGGAGAGCAGACACCAGCGCTGACCACCTGCTTCCACTCTCCCGCCCCAAACCCCGCAACTGCCACCTGCCGCTCTGAGGCATCTGCTGCTCCTGCCCCCCCAGGATGGAGCCACTGCTAGGAGCGAAAATTGGCTGCCTGTTGGCCTTGCTGCTCCTCACCCTGGGCTGCGGCCTTATTCCCATCTGCTTCAAGTGGTTCCACACTGATGCAGCCACAGGTACCGCCGGCCGCCTCCAGCCCCGAAGCGGCGGCCTGGCCACAGCCCCTGCCCGTCCCGAGCCCTTGCTCCGAGGCCCTCACCGTCCCTGAGCCGGGGACCCGGGGTGTTGCCTCCGGCTCCTGTGCACCTGCGCCGTCTCACGGCCACCGGATTGTGACTCCTCCTTTCCCTAGGCCGTCACCGCCGGGCCCTCAGCCTCCTGGGCTGCGCCTCCGCGGGGGTCTTCCTGGGAGCGGGGCTCATGCACATGACCGCCGAAGCCCTGGAGGGAATCGAGTCCGAGATCCAGGGGCTCATGGTGCAGGTGAGCGGCGGGGCGGTGAGGCCGGAGCGATAAGCAAAACGAGTGGCGGAGACAGAGACCGGGACGGCCGAGGACAAGGGTGGGAGCAAGCGAGAGGCCCGCTCCGGGGGTGTGAAGGCCAGTCGTGGGGGACTTGGAGGGGAGCCGAGCAGCTGAAGGGGCAGGAGGCAGCCGAGCTGCCCTGCCCGCACCTGACCCCTGCCTTTCTCTCCCTAGAACAGGACGGAAAGGGTGGGCAACGCCTCTGAGGATTCCGACTCTGCTCGGGCAAGTACCTCCGTGGGCCCCGCGCCGGAGGGGAGCAGGCCCAGAGGCTCCTGGGGGGACGGTGTCGGGAAACCGGGCCTCCCCTCTGCTCCTCAGCCGATAGATACCCCAGAGGGAAGGGGAAGCCCGCACGCCCCTTGGATGTGTGGGACCTCAGGAAGAACTCTGCTTTACCGTTGGCCTTTCTCTGGCCCCTTTGCCACGCCTCTTGCTCCCCAGATTTCTAACCCCGTCACCTCGTGTCCCTTGGTCCCTCCTGGATTCTTGTTGTCGCTACCCATCCCTGCTCTTGGCTTCCTTCCCCTGGCCCTCTTTCCGCCCAATATGCTGCATCCATCTGGAAGCATCTGAAGCAGAGGGGCTAAGGCCAGAGTGAGAGCCAGCAGGGCAAGCAGGCGGCCAATTTCTACGGATCGGTCGTCCCTCGCCTCCCACCCCGTGGCCGCCCCGCGTACTTGGGGCTCTTCCCCTCCTCACAGCCCTTCTTTGCGTTCCCAGATGGGGTACCCCTACGGAGAGCTCCTCATCTCCCTGGGCTTCTTCTTGGTCTTCCTCTTGGAGTCGCTGGCGTTGCAGTGCTGTCCTGGGGCCGCTGGAGGAACCACCGTGCAGGAGGAGGAGTGGGGTGGCACTCACGTCCCGGGACTGCACAGCCACGGACCGCCACCCTCTCCCTCGAAGGGGCCCCTTGGGTCCCTCGTCCTCTTGCTCTCGCTGTCCTTTCACTCGGTGTTCGAGGGCCTGGCCGTGGGGCTGCAGCCGACGGTAGCGGCCACGGTGCAGCTCTGTCTGGCCGTCCTGGCTCACAAGGGGCTTGTGGTGTTTGGCGTGGGCCTGCGCCTGGTGCGGAGAGGCGCTGGAGCCCGCTGGGCTGCGTTGTCCATACTGTCGCTGGCTCTCATGTCCCCCGTGGGCCTCGTCCTGGGGCTGGCTGCCACTGAAGGGGACCCTCAAGGGGGGCGAGGCCTGGCCCAGGCTGTGTTAGAAGGCGTGGCTGCCGGCACCTTTCTGTACGTCACCTTCCTCGAAGTTCTGCCCCGGGAACTGGCCAGCCCCGAGGCCCCTCTGCTCAAGTGGGGCTGTGTAGCTGCCGGGTTCGCCTTCATGGCCTTCATCGCCTTGTGGGCCTGAGAGCCTCCTGGCGTCAGGTGGACCTACCAGGATGGCCACTGTGTTTCAAATGGCTTTGGCCTCCTCCGCTGAGACTATGAGACATGCACCAGGCCTCGTCCTCCTGAACTGGACCACGGTCTTTTCCTACATGAGCACCCACTTCTCCTCCAGGCCCGGGAAAAGGAAGTCAGGGCTGGGTGCCTATAAATTGGAGAGTTGATGCAAGGACCATCGCTCCAGATGCGACTCTTGCCCGCTTATGTGACCGTGTATAATAAAATGTCCGGTTTACCCTTCCCCTTGAGCCGTACTACCCTTCATTCTTCCGGGGGGCCCAGGAGCTGCACACAGCGGCGGGGTGGGGAGTGGAGAAGCTGAATGTTGGGTGTCATCCTCTCCTGTGGAATCCGGGCCCCTAGCCATCCTGGGGGCTGCGGGCCATGCCCTCCACACCTGGGAGCATTGCCGAAATTCCAACAGCCCGTTCCTGCCTAACCCACAGGTGTTGAGAAACTGAGCCAGAATTCTTAGCATTTAGAGAGAAGGGATGTAAAACCAAACCATGGGCTCTAGATTTTTCCCTATGCTCCCCACACCCACCATCCAGTACCTGCTATCAGCCAACTGCAGCGTTTCAGGCAGACCAGAGAGCAGGCGAAGGAAAGCCTCCCTCCACCTGGTTCCCGCTGTGCACCCCTAGCCTGCGTGGCCGCGGGGAGGCCATGGCTCTTCTTTGGACCTCTGTGTCCCCGCTCCCCACCCCCCGCACCCGTTGCCTTGTGCTCAGGGATTAAGAAGCACTGCGTTTGCAGAGGGAAAAAGGTGCCACATAGATTCCCAGGGTGATTACTGGGCTTTGCCACCAAATGGCTTTCCTTGCATCCTCTCTACCTGGCCCTCGGCCCCCGGCCCCTCCCCGCTCGGCCATCTGTCTCTCCGTGTGTGGACAGGGCCTGGACGGGAGCTGCAGCCTGGGGTGATGGGGGACGGGGAGCTGGATGGGAACTGCAGCCTCAGGGGCAAGGACAGGGTCTGGACCGGGCTGCAGCCTCGGAGGGGGTGGGGGCTGGACTGGGCATGGACTGGAGCTGCAGCCTGCGGGGGGCTGGACTGGCGGGGTGGGGTGCTGGATGGGAACTGTGGCCTCAGGGGCAGGGACAGGGCCTGGATGGGAGCTGCGGCCTCGGGGGCAGGGACAAGGGGCTCCACAAGAGGAGGCGGGGGTGGGGGGAGGCCGCCCCGCTGTCCTTCTCCATCAGCCACCTCCCGCCCCTCTCGGCCTTGCCCAGCCTGAAGCCAGAGGACAGAAACCTCTGCCGATGTGCAGCAGGTGGGAGGGACGCACCCAGATGCCCTGCGGCCTTCACCTGTGGGGGCCCTGCCTGGACCTGGGGGGTGGAGGGGTGACTGGGAGGGGCCAACTGCACAGACAGCAGCGGCAGGGCACAGGGCTTTGCGGGGCTACAGGCCCGAGACCTGAGGAGGAGCACACTGGGCGCCCGGGGCCCTGCCGGTGCTTCTGGGCCCCCTTGTGGCCTCCTCCAGCCTGCGGCCCTCGTGGCACCTTCAGCCCCAGTGCTCTCCCCTTCCTTCCACCACTCCCCTCCCTTCCCTGGGACCCAAGGGCCCCATGGAGCCCTCTCTCAGGCAGAGCTACAGAGCGGCTCCTACACCCAAAGGGCAGGATCCAGCGTTTTCCCAAGCTCTGCAGAAGCCGCGGGGCCGGGGACCCAAGCAGGGGCTGGGATGGGGAGACTGAGGCAGTGGGCCTGAGTCACTAAGGGAGGGACGTGGGCGGCGGGGAAGGCGAGGAAGAGCCATGCCAAGCACGGGAGGGCCCTGCACCCCACCCCCCGCCGCGTTGCGTGCTCTGCGGCAACACGATCAGGGTCCTAAGGGGATGAGGAAAATAAAAATAAAGAGATGGGGACAGGAGGGACACAGTGGATGACGTCCAAGCAGTGCCAGCTTTATTCAAGGTTCTACAGCATTATATAGCATAAGCAAAACAAAGATAAGGAAGTGTCCATTCTTAGCATATTTGTGAATCCCTCCAAGCTTTCCCTCTACCAGCATGTAAGACACACCCAAGGCGCAGAAGATTTAGGGTTCTGGTTAATAGATAAGCTTGTTGCTCCAGGTGTATATACCTCGAAGGAACATTGTATATGGTTAACAGACCAGCAAGGACAGCACAGACCCCTATTTAAGTTTATGGCCAGGCCAGAATAAATTGTATCTATTGTGTTATGTGGGCGATCACGTAGAATCGAGCTCTGAAAACCATTGCTCAAGCCCTTTCTCAAGCGTCAACCAACTATTCACCCTTTAGGCTCCCCCCACACCTTTTGAATGAATGAGGGATGCAAGTCTGGTTTGCGTCTGGTTTGGTTTAGTTACTCCAGCCAGTCCGTGGCCGCCCACACCCCCCACCGCGGGCTGGCCCGAAGGTGGGGGCCAGCAGAACCAGGAGATCAGCTGAGGGCGGCAGCCCCTCCCTGTCCCCACAGAGGGCAGCTCTCCCCCCACTCGGGGTGTACTCGCGGCCACACAGCTGCAAGAGAAGGTGCTTGTGGCTCACACAGCTGCAGGACACAGGGTGCTCACGGCCACACAGCTGCAGGAGAAGGTGCTCTTAACCCACACAACTGCAAGACAGAGGGTGCTCACAGCCCACAGCCGCAGGACGGAGCGTGCTCACGACCACACGGCTGCAGGACAGAGGGTGCTCACAGCCCACACAGCTGCAGGAGAAGGTGCTCACAGCCACACAGCTGCAGGAAGCAGGGTGCTCGTGGCCACACAGCTGCAGGACAGAGGGTGCTCGTGGCCACACAGCTGCAGGACCCACATGGCCACCACCTCAGCCCCACACGCCCTGGCACGTGTACACCTGAGCATCAGGTCCCCCTCCTCGGAAGGCGGCCTCGCCCACGGTGTTGTCTGTGTGGGCACCCGCCTTCCCCTCCATCGTGCACCACAGCACCCCTCTCGGGTTTTGTTCTAAGTGGTCTCCACGCCCAGCACGGGGCTCAAACTCACACCCCCTAGGGAGAAGGCGGCTCGCTGTGTGGACTGAGCCAGCCTCCTGTCAGTCAAGGCTGAGGCCGCTGAGTTCGTTGCCTTTTCCCCGTGTTTTGTTTGCCTTGGAGCCACTAGTCCCAGTGACTCCAGCTATGGTAGTTCTGTGCTCTCGCATGGCCCCTAAGCACCTGCCGCCCTGCACGTGGCCACCCGTCGCCCTCGCCAGCACCAGCGCGAGAACTCCCCATGCCACCGGATACCCCTGCCCCTTCTCATCCTGGCCCAGCTCCTTGAAAAAACGCTGGGTCCTATGAGTGAGTCAAGGACACATCCCTTCCTCCCTCCGCTCACCGTGTGGGCCCCGGACCACACTGCGTCAGTCCTCAGCTCAGTTTCATTGAGCAATGCGTGTAATTGTCTGTGGAGACTCCATAAAGCAATCCAGCAAATGACCCTGTAATATTCCCCCCACAGTACTCTTATCGGTGACCACAGGGTGCCTTCTTGGTTCTTACTTCTTGTGCTCCCGAGAGCCCGAGAGTCGGCCTGCGACAGCCACAGAATATCCGAAGTCCTCTTGATGAGTATTGTGCACACTCGTTGAAAAGCTTCTCAGAGAACCACAAACATAGTCTAATTAAAGAGGTCTCCTGAGAGGAAATCCTCCGTCGGGCTGTTATCCTCCTGAGGGAGTCTTCGGATTGGGACCAACTATGAGCAACACAACCTCTCCAGTAACCGAGTGGGGCCTGGTCTCCTCGTTGTACTGAACCATCCAAAATGGAATAGAGGTACCCGCTAAGGAGGATCCTGCAGGAAGGTGATCACAGACGTCCTTGGACACTCAGCCAGCATTCTATACTTCCTTCTTAAGACCGTGATACTGGTGACATCTCTGAAACCCTGTGGCATTTCTCGAGGATCCGTGACTAATAAGGGAGTCTTGTAACACCCACGTGGCTCCCCTGTCCCCAGGACTTGGGGATACTATCACTATCTAGGACGATACCATCCTGTTGGAATTGGGGCCAGTGACTCTGCAGTCGCATTCTGTGAAGTACCGTGACACATCTGAGCCGAGCACAGGAGTGGGGCGGGGGGTGAGGGGAGTTGGGGAAAGGGCGTGATGCAGGCATACTCAGGCAAGGAATGGTGGTCAGTTCCTCTACAGTTTATTGTTACAGCAGAAGTTGTGGGACACAGGAGGGCACCCTCCACACACGACACAGTGTGGGCAGAGCCCCAAGGCAGCCCTTCCCACCCCTACGCCAAGCCCCAAGCAGCCCTGTCCCAGCTGAGCTCCCTCCCCCTCCCACTGTAGACACACACTGTCTACACAGCTACCAAAGTTAGTGCAGCCAATGGCCCCAGGCCCCTTCCTATTGCCCCAGCTCTGATCCTTCCCTCAGACTTGTTCACAGACCACCATTCCGACTTCCGTTTCACACACTGGATGTCTCTACCTCACCCTGAGGACCACTAACCCACCAGCAAGCCTTCTCTGACACACATTCATTTAGGCCCATACTCTTCAGAGATCTGAAGGGTTAATGAGAAGCTGTATCAGCTTTGGTGAATGGAGTCCCAGCCCCAAGTCCCCTCCCCTTGCAGTGGGGTAAGCAGGGAGAGTCTGGTGGGGGCACCATGGGACGACTACCACAACCTCTTATCCCTTATCTATGGACACCTAAATTAGGGAGAGGGGACACGTGCCCTCTCCACCTTAACACCAGAATGAAGGAGAGGGATAATTTAGGGGTCTGGGTCCCTAAGAGATATTAGGACATCTCTCCCAGGAGCTGAGGGGAATCACAGGTTAGAGGTCAAGGTTAGGGTAGCAATCAAAGATCAAGGTCATCTCCCCACATGATCTGCCCATCCTCCCTTACTCTGACCCAGTGCCCTACCACCTCCCAGGTTAGTGCAGGCGGAGGTGAGGGCTGGGTCCGGTGAGCAGGGCAACCGAGGGCCATTCAGCAGGAGACCTCCATGGTATGCCCCGGCGGCCCTGAAGGGAGAGTCCCAGACTCGCTGCCCTGCGACAGGGTGCGGGAGCGGGACCGGTTGCCATCAATGGACGCTGCACTGGTCAGCGAGGCCGTGCGCGATCGCGACAGGCGAGTCATGCAGGACGAGGCCACTGTGGAGGCAGAAGCAGAGCATGGGAGGTGGGAAGGAGAGCCTGGTGCCGGGATGGAACCGGGTCACGCATGGCAGGGCGATGGTTTCACAGCCAGGCTAAGTCCCAGAACTAGCCCTCGGTGCCCCACCCCCCTCCGCGACAGCCCCGGGCCCCCAGTACTCACTGTAGCCCATGCCTTGCAGGAAGTACTTGAAGGCCTCGGTCAGCTTGCCTGGCTGCAAAGGGGGACGAGGGGGGGCGGCGAGGGAGGTCAGAGCCCAGCTGGGGCCAGGCCGGGGCCGGGGCGGGCTGGGCAAGGGGTGCGCGGCAGCGGCGTGTGTACAGGGCTCGGCGCCAGCCGCAGCCACGTCCCGGAGAGCAGGGGTGCTCACCTGCGTCAGCTGGGGCTGACCTCCAGAGTCGGCCATCTGTGCGGGGGCGGGAGGGGGGGACCTCTGTTGAGAGGAAGAGCCACAGACCGAGACAAAAGGAGCCAGGCCAAGAGGTGGAAGGGTTCTCTTCCCCAGCTTCCCAGCCTCCCTGCAGGCCCTGTGAGCGAGCGAGCTCGCTCTTTCTCTCTTTCTTTCTTTCAAGATTTTATTTATTTGTTCATGAGAGACACAGAGACAGAGGCAGAGACACAGGCCGAGGGAGAAGCAGGCTTCTCACGGGGAGTCCCCAGGACCCCGGGACCATGACCTGAGCCGCAGGCAGACGCTCAACCCCTGAAACCACTGACCACCCAGGCGTCTTGAGAGTTTATTTTCTTTATCTACCCCACTTGAGGGCCTAGAGGCTGAATGTGGAGAGGACCCATGGCTCCGGACAGGGGGTCAGGAGTCAGGCAGGGCCTGGGGCAGGGTTACTGACCTTGAGAAAAGAGGTCTGGGTGGGGTCCAGCTTTGAGTTACACTCCACCTGGAGCAAGCAGGAGGCTGAATGAATGAGGTCATATGCCCCATGGCCTCTCCCATCCAAAGGACGTGGGGACCCAGGGACCCAGATCCTGGTTCCCTTCCTAGCAGCCCCGTACCCATTTCATTCTTACCAAGAATCAACCTCGTAGGCCCCACAGCTGCTCTCCCAATTCCACACCAAATCCTCCCAAGAGGCAAGCTACCCCTCTGACCACCACCCAAGGACTCCAACCCTCCCTCACCTCCCCCCTCAAAGTTCTCTACTGACCACTGCATCTTCATGGGGTGCTTGGTCTCCCACCACCAGCATCACAGGGCACCTAGAAGCATAGTGTCAGGGATAAGGGGGTGAGCCCCTGCCGTTCCCTCACCCGCCTCCCAGGAGAGCAGCTGGAAAATGTCTGGCCCCAAAGAGGCAAGAGTCTTCTGCACCCCACTGACCCTTCCCAGACGACCCAAAGGGGGAGGACCTAGAGGGTGTGGGATCTGCTCCACAGGGTGGGGTGGGAGATGACAAGACAATGCCCTGTTAAGAGATTCCCCGTCTTCTAAGGAACGTGAGCACCTAGGGAAGATCTGGGGAGAGGGGCAAAGCTCTCCCTCCTCACGTCTTACCTGAGGGTGACGGCACCGCCACGCTCCAGGTTCAGGTCTCGGCGACTAGGGAGGGGTTCAAAGGAGAGCAGGAACATTAGACAGGCAGCGCTATCCATGTGGATGGAAGCCACCCCCTCCCTGAGGAAGCTGTCTTCCTCCCCAAATCACAGTTGAATACTAACAGTTAAAAGTGGGAGCCACAGGGGAAGGTGGCTGGCAGGCCGCAAAGCCCTGCGGTCGCTTGTGCCCTAGGTGCCTGGCCAGAGGGCAGTGAAGGGGGCAAGGAGGGCAGCAGGACCAGAGGTGACCTCACTTCTGGGAATCCAAAACTCCAAGGGAAGTAAACAGCAGGAAGGGAGGACCTGGCCCGCAGCTGCCCCAGGGGCCCCGAAATCCTGCCCTGGGGGCACCATGGGGCCCGGCCTCCCTCTCAGGCCCTAGGCCTGCGCCGCCTCTGTCCCACACGAGCGCACCCCACTCACTTGTTGTAGCTGTTCCAGTACAGTTCAATGTTCTCCAGGTTGGGCGCATGCGTGATGATGTTTCTGTACTTCTGTATCAGCTCCGAGTTTCCAGACAGCTCCTCCTGAAGGAAAGAAAAGGGAGAAGCAGACAAATCAAGTTACCAGAGAAAAACAGTGAGCCTTCTTCCTGCCCCGGACCCCGTCCCCTCTAAGGAAGTCACCCCAGGCCTTCAAGCCCCTGCTGGTTCCCCTCTTACCGGCTCCCTCTTCCACAAGCACCCACCTGGCTGAAAAGATGTCCGAGGATCATCTCCGGAATGGAAGAGGTGAGACCTGTTAGCTATGAGGAAGGGCAGGTGGACAAGCTCAGGGCACGAGGAAGAGGAGGGAGCCAGACTCAACAGGGACACATCTTTTCTGCTCCACTCCCGCTCCCTCAAGTTCACAGGCCAACCAGCATGCTGGTGGAGCCTAACTGGACCCACACAACGGGGCCCCCACCCTAGACCTCAACACGCAGGTCCCTCCAAACCTTGTGGGCCGCCCAGTCCATCCAACCCTTGGCATTGGGATCAATGTTGATGAGAACAAGCCCCTCGACTGTATCCGGGTGGGTCAGCTGAGGAGGAGCAGAAAGTGGGGCGATCAGAGGCGGGGTGGGGCCGTACCCCCTTCCCGCTGAGCTCTGGCCGCTTACGCTCCCATGGGGTCCACACCCTTGTACCCAAGTCCTCCCCGTACACACACGGGCACACAGGAGTCTCCTAATCAGTCGGCCGTGAGCCTTAAACCTGCCTTCCCCCGTCTGGGTTTTTTTAAATTTCTTACAGCATAACGTGACAGGATGTAGGCTCCAGCTCCAACACCAACTCCAATTATTGTGGAGAAACTGGGAAAGAGAAATATATAGCCAACGGGCCCTGGTGTCCAAAACCTTTGGCCCTGCAAACCCCTCACCCTCCCTCCCAAGGTCACATGCACAAAGCCTGGACCGCACCCTCCCCTTGAGGGCTGCTAAAAGAGAGGGGCACCAAGGAGCTAACAGCTGACACTGGCAGCCAGTGCAGGACCCTGAACCGGACTTCAGCCCTTTATTGGGGAGCTAGTATCTTTTTTTTTTTTAAGATTGTATTTATTTATTTGAAAGAGAGAAAGCCAGAGACAGAACATGGGGGTGTGGGGGGGCGGGCAGAGAGAAGGAGGGAGAAGCAGAGAAGTCTCCTCCAGAGACTGGGCGCTCTGATCCCAGGACCCCGGGACCCCGACCTGAGCTGAAGGCAGCAGACGCTTAGCCTCCTGAGCCACCCATGTGCCCCAGGGAGCTGGTATCTTAAAAAGAAACACCCATCCAGCAACCAGACAGTGTTTTCCTACAGAGCTCTGTGTCCATTTTCAATTCTCCGGAGCTAGTTCAACTTGTTCTGTTTTAGTTCCTGGTTCCTTGTGAGGAACCGGGAAGAAAGGAGCTTGAAGCAGGATGGGGGGAAAAAAAGACACCACGTAGGCAAACAATAGGAAGAATGGGGAAACGGCCAACCACGTGGGGCTGCGCAGGGCCCGGGTGCCCAGGAAAAGCTGAGCCAGGGCCAGGCCCCAGGTGTCAGCACTGAGTGCACAGCCCCCAGGCTCCCCTGCTGCCCCTCCCGCCCCGGGCGGCCCCAGGTGTGCCCCAGGTGTGCGTCTGCAGGAGGGTGCTGGAAGGCAGAAGCGAGTCTATCTGGCTCCCTGGGACTGCGCCTCCTCTTCCTCTACCTTCCAGATCAGGACGCCCATCCTCCTGTCTCTATCAGTCCTCGTGTCTCTATCCGTCCTCCTGTCTCTATCTGTCCTCCTGTCTCTATCCGTCTTCCTGTCTCATCTGTCAGGACCACTCTGGGGATTCAAGTCCACTTCCAACCCCCCACTTCTTCTTAACAGTCAGGTGGAGACACAGAGGGGGGGATCTAGCTGGGCCAGAGACCACAGCTCGCCCAGAAACCCCGGGCCACACAGCAGTCCCGAGGGCCGCCTGTGCCAACCAGAGAGCTCTGCGTTGGGGGTTCCCCAGCCTCTCACTTCAGGTACTGCAGAATGCAAGGGATCATGTCCGCGAGCTGGTCCAGAGACGGGTACTGATACCTGCGGAAGAGAAGAACGTGAAGGGAAACGGCAGGCCGCCCCCGCCGCCCCAGCCTTTGGGGGTCGCCCTCTCCCAGAGTCTCCGCCGTCCTCCCTTCCCTCCTCCCCTGGTCCTCTCTTCCCCGCCCCTGTCCTGTGCCCTGAAGCCCGGTGAGGAGAGAAGGAGCTGATTCTCACCCCAAAGGGAACACGGGAGCCCCCTCTTCCATTCCAGGGGCATCCACATGAACCCGCACGAAGTTCTGAATGATTTCCTGCATGTCCCCGAACTGAAAGAGCGGCTGGAAGCAAGACTTATCTAAAGAGAATCCCCGCCGCCCCGACAGTAAAATCAGCCAGGGGACAGCATCCCCGCGTCAGAGCCCGCCCTCTTGGCCATAATCCGACCAGGACTGAATGCCTGCTGGACGCGCCACATGGCTCCCTTCCTGCCCGTACTGACCTGACCGAGCCCTTCCCTTGGGTCTTGACCCTTCCCACCAGCCTCTTCCAGAGGAGGAGCGGGAGGGGAAGCGCAGGTACTTACAGTTGAGTCCTACATCATGGTAGGTGAGTATCGCTGGGCGTTTGGGCTTGGGGGTCCCATAGACAGTAAAAGTGACAGAGCCATACGGTGTCTCCACAGAGTGAGTCTGCAGAAAAACAGGTCGTCATCAGGGGGCAGTTAGGCTGAGAAGAAAAAGAGGCAGGAGTAGGACACCCACAAAAGGCCCACAGAGTCGGGGAGTTGAGGTGGGGGGGCAAAGAGAGGAGGCCAGAGCAAAGAATTAGAAATAGGGCCGACAAGAATTTGGTTTGGGTAAATAAAATAACAGAAGATGATTCTGAGGGTGGAAAAGAATCATGAAGGAGGAGAGAGCACCAAGGAACCCTGAGGAGGAGAAAGGAAGCAAAGGGAGAAATGGGGACAGGAAGAGACTGGAATGCAAGGGAAGGAAGCAGAGAGTAGGGGCCCTCTCCTTACTGGGGGATAAGAGAACCCCTCCTCCCGCCCTGGGACAGCAGGGACCCCCCCCCCCCAAGCTGTTACCTGTCCCCGGTCCAGGAGGATTCGGGCAGCTAACTCAGCCTCCTGGAGAGACACACACACACACACACACACACACACACAAGAACAGATATGCACAGAGACACACAGCCGTGTAGTCACAGATGGAGAGACAGACACAGACAAAGACAGGTGGGCAAAAAGACCAAGACAAGAGACAGAAAGAGATGACAAAGAGACATGAAGAGGATGAAGGTTAGTGCAGTGATGGGGCACAGGCCTGGACTCCCGTGGCGGCGGCGCGGGGAGAGACGTGGGTCCAGGTGGAGAAACAGGGGTGTGGATTAGAATGAGATTATGGATTTGGGGCGACAGGAGGCGAGGGGATGACTGCAGGTCTGGAACTTGGGCCTGGAAGTTAGTCAGGGGGTCTCATAACCTTGGCCGTCTCGGGCGTCTGCCCTGGCAACAGCGGCTTCTCCTCTGTGATCTGCACCTCCTGCAGCTCTGCCATGGTGGCCTGGCAGGATGACGAAACACCAGGGTCGGGGAGGTGGCCTAACGCCCGCTTCCTCTCTCAGCCCAGGCCGGTGCAGGGGCCAGAGGGCCCCAGAGCCAAAAACTGGGCCGTGACCTCCCAGGGCCTCCCCAGCGCCCAGCCCCACATCCAGGCCCAGGCTGCTGGGACGGAGCGCTGGTGGCCGAGGACTCGGGACACCATGTCTCTTCAGAACAGCCATCCGCATCGCTGCCCCTCAATGCCCACACCTCTGGACTCCCCTCTGCCCTGGAAGGAAACCCTGGGGTGGGACAGGAGCAGCTGATTTCCCAGGCTATATTTAGGGGCCACCCCTGCCCCCCCCCAATGAGGTAGGGATGCAACTGACGGCTAGTGACCGGGTACTCCAACGACACTGAGGGATGGACTAGTGAGAGTTCATAACTAACTGTGACCTTCAACTAAGCCTCAAAGTCAGCAGCTCCAAGGGAAAGGGGCTAAAAAGGATCCGAGAACCCTGACCAAGGGGGGGGAGGGGGAGACAAAAAAAGGGCAAGGGGCACCTGTGCCCAAGTGACCCAGGCCTTCCCTTCCTCCCCACTGTCCCTCCCGACCCTGTGGATAAACTAGCGCAGGCTCAACCTCAGTGGGGCCACCGAGGAGTGAGGAGCCGGACACCTGTGCAGTGGCCTGGGGGTGGGGTCACTTACTGGGCTCCTATTGGCTGCGCGGCGGGGTCAGGGGTCAGTGTGCTCTCTCCGCGCCCTGGGGTCTGAGAAAACAAGGCAACGAGGTGAATGACATGGCCACGGACGCCGGGTCCTGTCTGGACAGAGAGCCTCGGCCAAGATCTGGACTAACCAACCACCTGTGACACGAGCACCCCAGGTCACTAACCCTCCCTGGTCTCTACGCCCTGGTCTAATGAGCGCGTCTTCTCCGGGCTTCACCCCAATCGCTGCGGGTGGGGGCCTGGGGGCCCGCGGAGAGCGGGTATGGGGGGGCTGGGGGGCGGGGGCGCGGATATGTCTCCTGGAACCGCGGCTGCAGCCCGGGCTCTGCCGCTAAGGCCCTGACCTTGGCCAACTCGCTACTTCCTCGGCCTCAGTTTCCTATCTGCAAACTGGAAGTGGGGGCCGGGGGTGGGGGGTGGGGGGGTGCTCAGGGTTTTGACGGCGCTCAAGTGGGCCCGGGCAGCTGCAGCTGAGCGGGGCTGTTTCCCATGTAAACGTTTAGAAACAGAAGGCAGCGAGCCTCGCGCCTCCGCGTGTGTCCGCCACGCGGGCTCGGTGGGTCCCGCGGCTGGAGAAGCGGAGCGGGGCGGCCTCCCCGAGGACCCGCAGGGGCCGAGCGCCCGGGCAGGGCCGCGCAGCACGGAGCGGACCGCAGGGCCCAGCCCCCCGCACCCGACCCGCCCGGTCCACGCCGTCCGCGCGCGTGGGGACCGACCCCCAGGCGGCCGGCGCGCAGCCGGCACCCGGCCCAAGCCCCGCACGCCCCCCGCGCCTCCGCCTTTGTGCGCGCAGCCCGCGCCCCTCCTTGCGCCCCCCGCGCTCAGCCCCGAGGGACCCCGACCCACCCCCGTCCCCGGGCCCGCGCCCCTCCGTGCGCCCCCCGCACCCAACCCCGAGGGACCCCGACCCCCCCCCCGCCCGGCGCCCGCCCCCCGGGCCCGCGCCCCTCGCCCGCCCCTCCCCCGACCTGCTGCCGCCGCGGCCGCTTCCACCTTCACTTGCCTTTGACTGTGCGGCCCGCCCGGCGAGGGCTCCCCGCGGACCCGCCCCGCCCCCCCTCCCCCCCCCCGGCTCCCCGCAGCCCCGCCCGCCCCGGCGAGCACGCCCCCCTCGCCCGGCCCCGGCCATCGCCGCTCCGGGCGGGGCTGCTCCAGCGAGGCCGACCGCGGGGAGCCTCCGCGCCCCGCGCCCCCCGCCCCCCTGCACCGGGCGGCCGTGGGCTGCGGGGACCCTCCGTCCCGCGGGGATCCCCGCGCCCGCCCTCGGCCCCGCCCCCCGTGACCGGGAACTGCCTATCGCACCGCGGTTCCTCCCTTCGCCCCCAGACTCCGGAGCGGGCCGGGCGGGGGGTGGCCCCGGGGCGCTGACACCCCATCTCCACTCGCCGGGAGAGCGGGCGCCGCGGGGTGAGGCCGCGGGATGGGGGGGACGGCCGCCGCGGAGGCGGGGGTCTCGGCGGGAGGGGCAGGTGCGCCGGGGGCGGGGCGGGGGTCGCGAGGAGCGGGGTTCCCGCCCCGGGGTGCCCGGGGGCCGGTACCTCCTCGCCGCTGCGTCCGACGCCTGCTCTCGGCGGCTCCGGGAGAAGTTGGAAAACAAGGCGGGGAGGGGGGGCGGGGAATGCGGGGGGCCGCTATAAATAGAGGAGCTCGCAGGAGGGGGGAGGATGGCCGACGGGGACTCCCGGGTCAAGGCCCCAAGGGGGGGCGGGGAGGGGCCAGGGACCCCCAGGGGTTTCGACTCGAGGGTAAACAGGCGCGGGGGCGGAGTCAAGCCTGCGGGGGCGGCGCGGGGCTCAGGCAGGACGTGGTGTCCCGGGCTGGAACCCAGGAGACCCTGTGGCCTGGGTGCTCACCCCTCCTGGTCCCCGGAGCAGGAGCGGGAGACCGGCGCGGCCGGCGGTGCTCCCCTGGGACTGCTGAGTCCTCTGAGGCCTGCAGTGGGTTTGCGGGCCTTCCCGCCCCCCCAGCCGAGCTGCACCCTCCCTGTGCCCGAGAGGAAGGCCACCGGGAACGGGGTGCTTAGGCGGCCCAGGGGTGCCCAAGCCTCTCAGGCACAAGGAAGGCAGATGGAGTTTCTCCCCACCTGCACCCTCCCAGCGCCCCCTCCCCACAAGGGTCCCCACTCCGGGTTCCTTCAGCCTGGTTCCTGAGTTACCATTTCGGGGGCTGGGCGGCAGGCCAGTTGGAAACAATGGCCAATGGAACTGGAGCTGCCAACCGCAACACCAGCACAGACTGCCCCCCCAAGACCCCCAAACTGCCCTCCTGTCTCCTGCCTGGGAACCACCCCACCACCACCCCCCTCACCACCCACAACCCCCTCCCATCCAAGGAACATCAATGCCCCTTTCATCCCCACTTGGCAGGGTCTGTTGGAAAGAAGGAGGGCCAAGAGGGAGGAGGTGACCCAGAGCAGGAGAACTGGTCAGGATCAAGCCCAGCTTTCGTCACATCTAAAGGACCCCCAAACCTCCTCGCAATTCGGAGCACCAGAGTTTTCCTCTGTTCCCTTCCCCCACTCCCTTCATAACAGTTTCCCTCAGAAACAGGCCCAGAAGCTGGGCACCCTGGCAGCTGGCCTAGTCCCCTCTTCCCTCTGGATGCCAGTTTAACACTCTCCTGGACGGGGAAAGGCTGTTGGCATTAGGACCACACAGATAAAGCTGGGCAGGACAGGCAGAGCTGTCCCCAGCCCTCCTGGAGCTGGGGAAGAAAGCCCGCCCCAAGCAAGAGCTTCCTCCTGCCTGCCTGCCCCCATCTCTGATGTGTCTAAAGTACTCTTACTCAGAGTGGGGGAGGGCAGGACCTGGAGGTTCCAGCATCTAAATTCGTCTCTGGGTCAGGATGACTCAGGGGGAACCTGATAAGGGGCCTAAGCAGGGGCGTGTGGCAGAGGGAGGTGGGGAATTTCCACTGGGATCTGTTTGCTTCAGGGACAGGGGTCTCAGCGATCCGAAGGCTGAAAGGAGGCAGAGGCTTTAAGGTAGGGTTCTTCTCTGGCGGGCCAGGGGCCAGCGCAGCCCAGCTGTAAGTGACCCAACCAGGGCCATCCCTCTCTAACTTCCTTCCCTTGGGTCAGAAGCAGCTTCAAACTATGAATTTGATGAAGCAACAGTTTTAAGCACTTACTGTGTGCAAGCAGCTGTGTACATGCAATCCAAAGAAGTGTGAGGGATGGTCATGCCCTCTCTAGAAGCTTATGATGGAGTGGGTGGGAGAAGTGATAAATATAGAAAAAGTTAAGAAAAATAATGCTCGAATCAGATTAATTGTTTAGGCAGCAATTCCTACAGCAATCATTTCCCACTCTTCTCAAGTAGGAGATCAGAGATTTCCACTCCCGCTTGATGGTTTTAGAATCCTCTGATGGAGACCAACCATGAGTTCAGCAATACTTTGAAATGAAATAAGTTTATAGAGAATTCTTCTTTTTTAAGATTTTAAGTATGATCTCTACACCCAGTGTGGGGCTCGATCTTACATTCCAAGATCAAGAGCCACGTACTCTCCTGACCGAGCCCAATAGGCATGACCGTGTGTATAGAAGAATTCTGATAATCATGATACCTATGTATATAATAATAACCTGCATTAGCAAGGCATATTATTTATTCAGTTGATGATCAATAATCTGCCTACATGGAGATTCCAGGGGCCCGTGCAGTAATTCAGAAATCCTCTCCCCAGCAGACCACAGCCCACAGAGTAGGAACCATTGTCTTGGTATAATTCAGAAGAGGAAAGGGGTTTTGTTCCCATGATGTACCAGTCTGTGAGGAGTACAACTACAGAGTATTTGAGTGAGAGAGAGGGGCATTCTATCCACGGAGAATGAGAGCATGAGGGAAAGTTTGAGGGCAGAAATATGTTATTTTGGAAAATTGAATATTAGTTACTATGTGCAAGGTACTTCCTGTATATTTTCCTGCAATACTATTGTTGTCCTCCCAGTACAGGTGAGGAACTCAATGAAGCTCAGTGATTTCTGAAACAGAAGCTTTAGTGATCTGCCCAAGGTCAACCAACTAGTGCTGTAAAATACTAATCTAGGACGCAAATCCCCACCCAGATTCATTCCACTCCAAGGCTATGCTCTTTCCCCTATGAGGTAACCTATCAAGCCATTATGGCCCCAGATGAAAAATAATACTGATGACAGGTGGGTGTTGTTTGGTCAGTGGGGACCTCTTGTGAAAGTCATTGAATGACAGGCAAAAGGCCTTGGCACTGAAGATCCTTGCAGTGTTCCTGAACGGGATTAATGGATAAAAAATAGTTTTGTGAAAATTAATGATGGGTGGGTGATAAAGATAGATTAATGCGGGGTGGGGGGAAGCATTCCATTTAGAAAAGAGATTCTTTCTTCCTTTCTTTCAGGGTCGGGAAGAGGCACAGAGAGAGAGAATCTTGAGCTACGGCAGCCTCCATCCCACAACCCTGAGACCAGGACCTGACATCAAGAGTCGGACACTTAACCTACTGAGCCACCTGGTCACCCCTAGAAGAGAGATCCTTTAGAAGCCAGAGAAACCCACTAGCTGCAAGATGACGAGGGCTTGACTAAGCATGAGAGCAATCGGAATGGAAAGAGAGGGTTTGTTGTACAAGGAAGTGACAGGAAGGGAAGGGAAGGGAAGTCATCAATCTGGTTGCTTAGAGTCCCTGAAGTTCATCCATCTATATGGCTTCTGGCCAGAGAAAAAGCCTAAGAGACATGCTGAGGAACATCCCTGATCTGCACAGAAACTTATCTGGAAGATCTTCAGAGTCTGACACTCACCCACCCTGGCTTTGTTCACCTCGACCCACCCAGATAGGTTATACTCCAAGGCCTGTGCTCTTGCCGTGTTGAGCCCAACATTGGAAGCCATTTAAAGATCTGAGGTTGGTGGCCAAAGCCACTGGGATTCTCCATCTTTTTTTTTTTTTTAGTTTTTTTTTTTTAATTTATTTATGATAGTCACAGAGAGAGAGGGAGGGAGGGAGGCAGAGACACAGGCAGAGGGAGAAGCAGGCTCCATGCACCAGGAGCCTGACGTGGGATTCGATCCCAGGTCTCCAGGATTGCGCCCTGGGCCAAAGGCAGGTACTAAACTGCTGCGCCACCCAGGGATCCCAGGATTCTCCATCTTGATCACTGCCTTGGGCTTGAGACTAAAAAGGAGGACACTGTGGGGCTGATGCCAACCTGTTTTCATTAACCCCTTCCCTGGGCTCCTCTCAGCTTTGTGGGCAGAGCATAAGCCAATGTGACCAGGACCCGGAGACCAGGTCAGGCTAGGCTGGAATGACGAGGGAGTTTGATCAGCTGGAGGGATCAGAAGGTTGGCAACTTGCTCAGCGTAGCATGCAAAGTGGGGAAATGAAAGGACCCCTCTCCCAAGACTAGGGCCATAGCCGGGCCTGGAGGAGATGTCAAGTAAGCACTGCTGAGGTCATAGAAGCTTCTGTCTCCTCCCCCGTTTCCCCATTGTCACACGTGTCCCTAGTGTGACACACATCCCTAGTGCTCCCACATACCTGCACACACTTAATAAAGGGAGACTGGGAAGGGTCAGACACCATCCGGGTACTCTCAGGTGCACAAGAGTGGGGGGGGTGCGGTGGGGAGTGGGTGGCAGTGGTGATTACTCAGCAGGTAGGATCTACGCCAGGACACCTGGTGCCGGGAGCAGTAGGTGGGATGGGAGTGAGGGGGAGAAGGAAAGAGAGGAACGGGGAGGAGGGGCTTAGTTCCTATTGTTGACTCTGATTTTATCTTGATCCTCATCTTGGTTACTCTGCAGTCCTCCCCTCCCCTCCTCTCTCACCCCCGAGTCTCCCCCACTGCTGTCCTCCCCCACCTCCAGTTGATCATGGCATCAGAAGCAGGGAAAACGTTCCAGCGGTTTGCTGTCTTCGGAGAATCCTCGAGCAGCGGCACTGAAATGAACAACAAAAACTTCTCCAAGCTCTGCAGGGACTGTGGCATCATGGACGGCAAGACAGTCACCTCCACTGATGTGGACATCGTATTCAGCAAAGTCAAGTAAGGGACCAGAGAGGAGGTAGGGGTGGTGAGTAGACCGAGCAAGGCAGTGGGCTATGGAAGAGTTCATGTGGCGAGCATGCATAATGGGTCCACTGGGCACCTGCTGGGCCCATGGCCCTGTGCTAGTCCCTGTCCCCAGGACACTCAGTGTCAAAAGGGGTGGACCTTGGAAGGGGAAGAGTTCATGTTCCAGAGCTCCTGGGTTTCTCTATCCGACTGACCAGGGCCAAGAATGCCCGAACCATCACATTTCAGCAGTTCCAGGAGGCGATGAAAGAACTGAGCCAGAAGCGATTCAAGGACAAGAAGCCAGATGAAGCTCTGGAGAACATTTATAAGCTAATGGAGGGCAAGGATCCGGCTACCACTGGTGTTACCGTGAGTGGCAGTCTTCATCCCTCACCCTTGACCCTACTTCCCCAAAGTCCCTGCTGCTCCTGTCTCCCTTCCCACCATCCTTGTCCCTACCCTCTGCCCCTAGTAATGCCCGAGGGAGATGAGGCCAAAAGCCTCCAGTGCCCCGTTGGTATTGGAGCAGAATTGGGAGATCATCTGGTAATTTCAGGGATGAGGAGCTTGTTGCCCAGAGAGGAGTCCACATCTACCTTAATGGTAAAACTGAGACTAGTTCCCAAGTGTCCGGACGGCAGTGGGGGAACCCTGAGCGCAGAGGACTCGGTCCCTGCTCCTCATTCCTCTTCCTGCTCTCCTATAAGGTGCAACCTCTGACCGCCTGCCTCTCACCCACCATCTCTTCCCTATTTGTCCCCTCTCTATTTTAAGTTCCTTCTAGTCTAGGTTTCAAATCGGCCTCTCCCAGGAGGAGGAACCTTGCGTACTGGGGTTGAAGTCCTCTCTGGCTGCAGCCTGGTCAAAATAACTCCCTTGGAAGCAGAAAAATCCACACACACCCCATTCATTCCCACACACCAGACTCCCATGAGTTCCCACCCGTGAGTACATGCTACACCTGGCCCCTAACAAAAGCAGCCCCATGCCCGCGCCTGCCGAGTACTAGCAGAGTCAAAGACCAGCTTTAGAGAAGGGCTGTGACAGTGAAGGGGAAGAGAGAGGGATCAGACCCTCCCATCCTCTGGCTTGCAGAAAGCAACAACAGTGGGGGCGGTGAGCCGGCTGACGGACACCAGCAAGTACACAGGCAGCCACAAGGAGCGCTTCGACGAGAGTGGCAAGGGCAAAGGCATCGCAGGCCGGGAAGAGGCAACCGACAACTCAGGCTATGTGAGTGGCTACAAGGGTGCTGGCACCTATGATAAGAAGAACAGCAAATAAGGAGTAACCCCAACAGCTAGGGTCAATAAGCCCTCAACCTGGCCTCTTAAATTCCAGGGAACCTAGGGAACAATAAACATCGGTGGGTGCAGCAGCCAACGAGCTCTGTCTTCCATCAGGATGAGGGATAGACAGGCCCACTGGTGCAGAGAGAGGCAAGAGAAGGCCCCAGGAGTCAGGCTTTCCAGCTCTGCACCCTTTCTCTACTTAGCCTCAGGCCTCCCAGGCAGAAGTTAGCGTTCCCTTCAACAACTGCTTCTGAGAACGGAGCTGAGGAATACATTTGGGGGTGAGAGAGAAACCAGATGTGGAGGCAAAGGTACTTGCTCCTCGCATTCATAGGTTACTGGTATCCACCGTCCTTATCTCCCGGAGAGGAATAGTAATTCCTGACCTGACGTCATCTGACCCGGACACCACCAGCTAGGCCCTTCCTTGCCCCTCTGCCTTCCTCATCTGTTGTAGTCCGGGCTTTGTTGGAGAACTGGAAGCCAGCTAGAATGGGCCAAGGACTTAGCTTGACTCCTGTTATGAGTTTGTGCTCGAGCTGGGGGAAGAGAGAATCCGTTTTTAACACCTAGTCTGGAACTGAGTTTTACACCCCCACCATCCCATGGTGGTACACGTGGAACAGGAGATCCCACTGACAGCTAAGCGTAGCCCAGGAAGACGGCCGGAGGTGCGTGGTCTCCAGGACTCCGAGAGTAGGAGTGCTGGCGGACACGCTGAGGGAAAAGGAGTGAAATCAGAACTGATTCAGGATGTGTTTTTATATTTTTGTTTTGAAATGACTATAGAGTCACAGGAAGATGCAAAAAGTAGTACAGAGACGTCCCACCTACCCTTCACCCCAGTTTCATCCAGTGGTTATAATCTTAACATAATTCAGATGTGGTTTTAAAACCTTCCATGACTACAACCCAGGTCACTTCCCCCCTGTCCTGTCAGCAGCAGATCTTGGAGTTTGGGTCGGGGGAAGAGGGGGTGTAATGAGGAGCTTTGGGAAGGAAAGGGATACAGTAGTAATCTTGGGGGCAACAGGTCAGAGAAGGTAAGTTGAGAGTCCAGTGAGCCACAGTAAGAAGGATGGAAGGAAAAAAGATCAGAGAAAGGAAGCCAGGGCGACAACAGAAGTTCCACCCTGGGCTCTGCGGTAGGAGGAGGGGAAAAAAAAGAACAGGTGATATGGAGAGAAGATCGGTGATTTCATAGAGAGGAGCAGACTGGGAACTGGGTGGTTCTGGAGCAGTGAGGCTAGATTGAGTCTAAGGGTCTCAGGGAGGTCCCTCTAGCTCCCGGGGCTTGAATGGGTGAGTGGAGAGTCCTAAGGGAGCTGGGGAAGGCTGAGAGGAGGAGGGCAGTGGGATGGGGAGTTAAGACATGTTGCTGGGTGCCTGTTGCCATGGTATGAGCCGAGGCTCCGGGCCTCCATCCAGGATTCAGGTTCTGGCCCAGCGGATGGACAGTCACTGCCAACTGGACACAGTCAGCTTCTTGGGTGGGTAAGATTGTCTGTGGGAGAGGGGGATGTTGGGGGAAGAAAGGAGGTAAACAAGTTGGAAAGAGCCTGCAAGGCAGGATGACTTTGCATGGTGACTGAAGCTCTGGCCCTTTGTCCTGTCCTCCTGGTGTCTCTCTCTCTCTCTCTCTCTCTCTCTCTCTCTCTCTCTGTAGGGGGAGGTTTGGGCGTGTGGGGGGCGGGGATAGGCGATGTGTGAGGGCGGTAGAAGGCGGTTCAGAATGAAAGCCTCCCTGTCCTAGTAGAGGCCAATGATACCTATCGGTTCAGCATCACGCTTTCCAGAACAGAGCAGATAGAGCCTTTGGTTGGTTAGGGTGTCGTTGTAGTTGCAGCTCGTGGGCGGCTGTTGAGAGGCCAGAGAGCAGATGGTGACAGGGAAGGAGTCCTCTGTGAGCGTACAGTATTCATTGTAATTCTCGCAGAAGCTGTCGCTGTACCTGCAGAACTTCTGGATCTCTCTCCAGGGGGCATGCACCATATAATGGGTTTGGGGGCAAAACCAGCTCTGCTTTTTGCCCCGCACGTAGCCCATGAGACCGTTACAATAGCCCTGGAAGCCCTCTGGGTAGTTAACCCTGGGATACTCGATGTGTAACATGCGGAATTTCTTGGTGGCAATCTGCACCCTGATGTCCACAACCAGAGTTGGCCCTAGAAGGAGCTGGAGAAACAGGAGCCGGGCCACAGCGTGTGCCATTCCTCCTGCTGGTAGGGTTGGGATGGTTCAGGCAGAGGCGCGCCCCAAGTGGCTCCCTGCCCCTGCCCGGGCCCCGCAGTGCTCCCCCAGCCTTGCCAGGTGCCCCCATACCCTAAGAGCTGGGCGTACTTCAGAGCTCATCTGAGCCAAGTCCTCATGTCCCAGAGAGAGGAGACACTTGCCCAGGTTCACCCAGCTGGCCGGCCACCTCAACCACCCCCCGACTCCTTCGGTCCACCTTGGGGTCCCAGCGTCACGCGCTGTGAGCTGTAGCACTTACCGCACAGAAGGTCTAGCTGACCCCTGGGTGAGCGACTCTTCCCGATGATCCCTGCCTTCGGTCAACCTCTCAGGGGGAGAATGCAAAGGGGACGGAAGGAACAGGCTGCGCTCCGATTCTCCGACGCCGGAGAAGGATCAGGAGCTGGAGGACCAGCGGGGCGGGAGCAGGAATCCTTCTTGCCTCAGTTCTTCAGACTGAAGCCAGCCCCAAGGGGAGAGGGGCCGGAGGGCTCTCTGGACACAGGCCAGTCTAGGAGGAGGGAGCATCCCTGAGTCTGAGGAGCCCCTGTACTTGGGGGTGGACGTGGGAGGACAGACACGCTGCTGTCTGGCCTCCTCCTTTCGGCTGTCCCAGAACACTTGGTTCCGGCTCCTTGCCAGAGGCCCTAAGCTCCCGGACTCCCTTTGATGTTCCCTCTGCTCCGTAGGCAACGCTCCCCAGGAGGGCGAGCAGGAAAAGCACTGTCATGTTTCTGAGGAACGAAGTGCTGCTTAGTCCTGACCCTTAGAGAACAGAGGGCCTGCCACCCGGCCCCTCACCTGGCCCTGGCGGGAATCCGAGAGCTCAGGTGGCCCCAGGCCCCATCATCACCTCCACCCTGGCTCCAGGGCCCCGGCACACCATGGGCCAACTCCCTCCCCGCAGCCTGGGGGCTCCTGAGGCTGAGGCCCCAGCCCACCGGGGTGGGGGGAACCCCAAGTGTGGGCCCTGAACCCAGAGGAGCGGAGTCCAACTGTGGTTTGTCATGTTGGGCAAAGGCCGGATCTTAACTCTCTTGGTCAACCCCTGCTGCTCGGTTAGAGCAGAAGAGCCAGCTCCCGGCCTTGCCACGGCCTCCTCCCACGGCCTCCTCCCATGGTCTCCTCCCACGGGCCTCCCCACCGGACCTCCCCACCGGACCTCCCCACTGGGCCTCCCCACAGCTGTGGCGCCCTGGAAGGGAGCCCCCATCCTTGCCCTGGAGAGCGGGCCGGGGGTCAGGACACAGGCCCTCGGGTGTTCCCAGGCCCCGCGCAGCCGGGGGTGATGAGAGTCCTGGAGGCATTGCGCTGAGCTGCTCATGCCGAGCCCCCTAGGCGCGCTCTTCCCATGGGCCTGCAGTCCAGAACCGGCTCCCCCTGCCTGCTCCTCCGCCTGCGTTGTCTCCCATCTCCTCAGTTACCTGGGCAAGGCATCCGTCCCCCGAGCCCCGCCTGGGGGGCAGAGGCTGCTGGGGCTTAGAGCAGGCCCTCCGAGGAAACCAGACGGGCCCCCCAGGGCCCCTGCCCCATGGTCTGGAGGCCGTGCCACCACCCGGCTCAGTCCGCCAAGACCCCACGGGCGCCAGTCCCCTCGTCTGTGGATGGGGGACCCCGGCCGCCCCGGGGCAGTACCGGCCTCCCGCCCAGTGCCTGGCACACACGAGCCCTCGGGACGACAGCCCTGTTGCTCCCCCGGCTCGGCTCTCTGCCCCCCAGGACAACTCTGGGCCTCGCAGGACAGAAGGCCCTCGCCCTGACCCCGGCCCGTCCCCCGTGCCACCCCTGGCCCCGCTCTCACCCGTCACCCCCACGCAGCTAGCTCACGCGAACACTCAGCCCACGGAGGCTGCTTGCACGACACTCCGGGGAGTGTGCAGCGCCAGGCAAGGTGAAGCCACACGCCGGTGGCTCGTCCACATCCTGCAGGCCGTGTCTATGCCGAGTGGGGCCAGGCGGGGTGGGCCCGAGCTTGGCTGACCCAAGTCTCGGTTTTGAGGAAACCTGCTCCTGTCCCCCTGGCAGGGCGCTTTGGCCTCCCTGCTTGCACAAAGCTGCAGCTTCCCTGAGAAGAGGAGGCACTTTCGGGACTCCTGAGCTTCCTGTCCCTTCACTCGCTGCCTTTGGCCACCAACCACCTCCGCGCAGTTAGGGAGCGGACAGCACGTCGTAGAGGAAGCGTTCAGGGCCTGGTATCAGGTGACCTCCCAAATTTCCGCTTCCTCATCTATAAAATGGGATTAATGCCTTCCTTGCCTCATGAGGCTGCAAGAAAAAGGCGAGATGATCAGCGTGGACGTGGCTTTCCACTGTCACACGGCGCATAACCAGCATGAAGCTGGATACGATCTCCCAGGTTCTGCACCAACTCGCTCTTCTCCCCAACCCAACATCGGCAAAGCTGCTCTTATTCCCCAGATGATCCAAGTGACCCCCCAGCCCCGCTCTGCCCGCATGGAGCCCCCCTGACACCTAAAGTTCATCTTCATGAAGCTCTCTATGATTGGCCATGCCCTGTGTCTCATAACCTTATTTTTTTTTAATTTTTTTAAAGCTGTCCAGTACCATCTGGAAAGCACTCTGACGAATGGTGGGGGCAATGTAAAGGTAAATAAAAGAGCTTGAGCCTAGACTACAGGTGTGATTCGTCAGGGAAAGACACACACAGAAGCACGTTACCAAAACCTGAGCAGAGGACCAGGAAGGCTGCTGAGTGTGCCACCGGCCTGGGGTTCTGCACTGCAATTCTAGTGGCTCGGTCTTTAAAATCCTATCTCCAAGGTACTGATCCGTAGCATTGCTTCTTCCGTGCTGACCCCCTTGTCATGGTTCTGTCTACTCTCGAAACCTGAGATTTTTTTGGAATTTGTTGCCTCATTACACTGGGCTTTACACACATGAGAATTACCCTAGGGATGAAGAAACTAAGTTGGAGAGAGAGAGAGGAGTTTGGTCAAGGTCATATGTCTAATTTAGAAGTTCTCAGTGGGAGCGGGGTAAGGGGCGCAGTGGGAGGCCATTTGGTCATGTCTGGGGACAGTTTTTGGTTGTCGCGAGTGGGAGGTGCCACTGGCATCTGGTGGGTAGAGGCCAGGGATGCCGTTAAACATCAGACATTGCACAAGACAGCTCCCACAACAGAAAATTATCTAGAGCAAATGTAAATAGTGCTGAGGTTGAGAAACCCTGGTCTGGGGCACCTGGCTGGCTCAGTCAGAGGAGCATGCGACTCTTGATCTCAGGGTCTTGAGTTCAAGACCCACAATGGGTGCAGAGATTACTGAAAAATAAATACACTTAAAAAAAATAAACAAACCCTGCTCTCAGGAGTGAATCAGACTTCCTAACAAGGGCAGAACTACTTATGCCTTATATATTAAAAAGGGTTGGCGGGCAGCCCCGGTGGTGCAGCGGTTTAGCGCCGCCTGCAGCCTAGGGCGTGATCTGGAGACCCTGGATCGAGTCCCACGTCAGGCTCTCTGCATGGAGCCTGCTTCTCCCTCTGCCTGTGTCTCTGCCTCTCTCTCTATCTGCATCTCTATAAATAAATAAATAAATAAATAAATAAATAAATAAATAAATATTGGCAAATCTCCAGAACTTAGAAGTATTTTTGTCAAATTTTGCTTTTAGTAATGCTAGTTTTTCTACCAGCAAAAGGAGCACTGATAGTTTACCACTGAAACAACTTTGAGTTGTTTTTCCTCCAAAGGTGACCCTCTGCCCGTAGTCCTCCACACATGCTCTCCCCCGCCCCGCCCCAGGGGTAAGCATTTCTAGAACAACTGGCTAGAGTGGCAGGTGCAAGGGTGATTCCCTATAAGGGGAACCCCAAGATTTTGCCCAGAGAGAGCTTACCATAGCCTCAGTGGTGTCACTTTTTGCCCCGTCCAACCCAAATCGATCCAATAAGCACATCATGCCACATCAGGACAGTTCCTGAGTTGTCCTTGAACCCAAAGGATTGCTTCACGCCTCTCAACCCTCTTGTCATGACTTCACCTCAACCCCAGGGTTGAAGTCCAGGAGATGCATTGTCGGTTCCCTCGCCTGGGAACCGCTGCTGCAGGTTGCCAATGGCCCCACCTGGGACTGGGATCTTCAGGGGCAGACTAAAGCCCTCCTGACCCAGAAATTAAACCAGTTAAGAGTCATTTATATGCAAGGCACTAAGCTATACCCGTAGGAAGTACGAAAGAAGTTTATTAGATGGTCCCGGTCTTCTGAGGATCGATAGTCTGAATTGGAGGAAAATGATAAATACAAATGAGGAAATAACCAACATTTCAAGGCAGAAAATTCTATGTCTTGAAGACACTGACTGTAGGAATTTAGAGGTGGAAAAGATCCCTCTGAATTGGGAGGACCAGAGCAAATTTTGTTTGTTTTTTTTGTTTTGTTTTGTTGCAAATTTTCTTTGTGAGGGGCGGGTCGTTCTGGGACGTTGGGGTGGATCTCAACGAATAGTTGAATAGAGATAAAGAGGATTATGACAGGTATGTTTAGGAAAATAGAGAAAACCAGCTTGGCTGGAATTGAGGCACTCGGTGCAAGAAGAGTCAGAGACAAAGTTCAAGAGACAGGTTTGCCAAATTGGGCAGGCTCTGGATATCAAGCTAAGGAATCTGAATTTTATTTTTTACTTTTTAAAAGATTTTATTTCTTCATGAGAGACACAGAGAGAGGCAGAGGCACAGGCAGAGGGAGAAGCAGGCTCCATGCAGGGAGCCCGATGTGGAACTCGATCCCAGGACCCCGGGGTCACACCCTGGGCCCGAGGCAGATGCTCAACCGCTGAGCCCCCAGGGGGCCCAGGAATCTGAATTTTCTTCTGTAGATAAAGGGGGAACGGACAGTGGCCTACAGTGAGCCACGAGGCCCCTCGACCCCAGAGCAGTCCCTGCTCCTACGGCCCGGCCTGTCTCCAGGCACTGGTTTGGGAGCCAAGGGTTCCAACCTCTGTCCGCGCTGCCTCCTCCAGACCACAGCTGCTCCAGGAAAGGTCGTGAGAATTCAAAGACCCAAAGCGAGTCCCACATGTGACCCCGCCTGCTCTTGGTTTCACTTTCCCTGCCTACAAGAATGAGCCCATTACCTTTACTTGTCCTAGGAGCAGCGGCCGCCTCTGGCCCGGGCCTGGGGAGGGAAGCTCTCCTGGGCTTTCCTCGGTGCCCGGGGCTGCGTGGAGCTCCAGAGGGGGAGGCCGGCCCCAGGAGGTGGGCGCCCGTCCAGGCCGGCGGCAGCCAGCTCCCCACACCCCTCTGCGCAGGCCAGGCCGCAGGAAGCCGCAGCTGTCGGCCTGTGGGAAGACAGGCACGGGTCCACCTGGGGCTGCTCGGGGTCACGACGCCCGCCCCAGTGACTTCAAACATGCGCACGCACACATGTCCACGCATGTGCACAGCGGGGGCCTCAGAGGGGGTGACCATGGCCGTAGGCCGAGGTGGGTGGAGGCACCGGCTCCCCTCCCGTCTCCGGCCTCTGTCTTGCCCTCTTGCTCACGCCTTGCTGATCTCTCTCTCCTCCTGCCTGGCTCCCTGACCAGTGGCCTGAGGCCTGACCCCTTCTGCTCTCTCTGATCTTGTCCCCCCCTTCCTCTGTCTTTTCCTCTGGTCCCTTCCACGTGGTGAAGGAAAACCGGCAAAAGTATCCTACCAAGGGCAAAGCAAGGCAGATCTGGGAAGCCGGGGAGCTTGGGCAAATACATAAACGAGCAAACAAAATCCCCTGCCTCATCCAAATACAGAGACCACGCAAGGATGCCAGCCTGAGCGGCCAAGGGGCAGCGCAGCTCTCCAACTTTGGTATGCAAACTGAAACCTTGCCTTCCTCAACCCCTCCTTCGGCCTGAGACTGCAGGGTGACTGCAGGTTCACTCTCCCGCAACACCCAGGCCGGCTCTGGAGAACTCGGGGTAAGAAACTAGGATAATTGCAAGGACAGAAGAACACAAGAGCACAGGGCAGTGCAAGTCGTGGTTTGGAAACATCTCACTCTGGAATGACGAGAAGTGAGGAGTCCTGGCTGGGAATTCAAATGAGCTCTTGCCCCCCTCACCCCCCGCCCCCAGCCAGGCCTCTGGCCTCTGGTCCTGGTCCAGGGCTGGACGGGCCTGTGCTGATCCGCATTCTGTCCACAGTATGCTTTTAAACCATGGATTTTAGTTCCAAAGATTTGCATTTCTACAGCAGGAGAGGCATAATTCTCTATCCAGAAGTTCAAACTGTGAAGATTCAGGCCCCTAACAAAGCAGCGAATGCTGTTCCCACAGCCAAGGCCTCACTGGGGGCGACGCCAGGGAGCCAGAGGCCTGCGTGAACTTGCGCCTGGTTCTCTGTCCCCATCTAGCGGTGCTTCCCATCTCCAACACCACCTTTTCTTCCAAAAATCATCCTGGGCACCCCCTCTATTCAACTGGTGACCCCGGCCTCAAAGCAAACACCTCCTGTTCCCGAGTCAAGCTCCTGACGTCTGGACAAGGACACACACCTTACAATCGAGACCATTGATGTGGCCTTGCTGCAACTACAAGTCACACGACGGCCTTTCACTCCTCTGCTTACAACCACCCCCAACGCACAGCCTCCCCGCGGGGTGCAGAGTAAAAGCCGCAGCCCTTACTGGTCTCAGAGGCTTTCCATGATCTGGCCTCTGCTTCCTTTCTGACCCCATCATCTGTCACCTGCTCCAGCCACGCTGGACTCCTTGCTCCTCCAACACCCAGGCCATCTGTCTCTTTAGGGCTTTCTTAGCACTCTTCTCCGTGGACCTTTCTCCCCTCACAAGCACAAGTTCACTTTCTCATCTTTGGGTCTTTGTCCCAGAGTCGCCTACTTTAATGTCTCTAAAAATCACTGCCTTCCGGGCCGCCAGGGTGGCTTGATCAGTTAAGCACCTGCCTTCGGCTCAGGTCACGATCCTGGGGTCCTGGGATTGAGCCCCAAGGTGGGCTCCCTACTTAGCAGAGAATCTGCTTCTCGCTCTCCTTCTGCCCCTTCCCTGCCACTCATGCTCTCTTTCCCTCAAGTGGATAAATAAAATCCTAAATAAAATAAAATAAATGAAAACCACTGGCTGCTGACATCCCTCTTGTTCCACCTTTTACCTTAGCAGTTATCACTTCAAGCAAAGGGCATCTTTATTTTTTTTTTAAAGATTTTATTTATTTATTCATAAAAGACACAGAGGGGATCCCTGGGTGGCGCAGCGGTTTGGCGCCTGCCTTTGGCCCAGGGCGCGATCCTGGAGACCCGGGATCGAATCCCACATCGGGCTCCCGGTGCATGGAGCCTGCTTCTCCCTCCGCCTGTGTCTCTGCCTCTCTCTCTCTCTCTGACTATCATAAGTAAATTTTTAAAAAATGTTAAAAAAAAGAAATTAAAAAAAAAAGACACAGAGAAAGAGAGACAGAGATGCAGGCAGAGGGAGAAGCAGGCTCCCTGCAGGGATCCCGACGTGGGACTCGATCCTGGGACTCCAGGACCAGGCCCTGGGCCGAAGGCAGGCGCTGAGCCGCTGAGCCACCCAAGGATCCCCAACACCTTTATTTTTACCATCTTTCTCCCAATGGAATGTAAGCTCCATAAAGGTAGGGATTTTTGTTTCCTTCGCTCCCTGATCTGTCCCAAGAACCTCAGCGCATCGTAGGTGTCGAGAAGTGTCTACATGGACCTAAACCTCGTGTCCCAAGATCACCTACTACTTACAGGTGAATCCTCAAAACAACTGCTTGCCTCAGTTTCCCAGGCCTTCCCACCCCAGACAGTGATGCTTCTATCCCTGTGTGCTGTTCTCCTGAGGGCCAAGCGCCAGGCTCCCTAGAGCTGCCAGCGCCGTCCCTCCCGGGCTCTCCTCACACCCGGAGCCACCGCGAGGAGCAGTGTGTGCAAGAGAAAGGCCGAAGGTGGGTGAAGCAACCACCCACCGACAGCATGTTCAAATTTGGACAATGTTTAAATTTTGCCAATCTCAATAAAGTAAGGAGAGAAAGAGTGAAGGATCAAAGGTGTTGGGTGCCTTCGCCAGGTACAGCTCAGTGGGTGGCCCTGGTCAGCATCCGCAGAGAGGGGCCCAGCAGAGAGAATCCCTCCAGAAAGCTGAGCCGGGATGGTGTTGGCCATCGTGACCGGGATGATTCATCTGCTTCCCTGTCCCTTCCATCTCCTCCAAAAGACGAGCAGAAGTCCTGATGACAAGAAATCATACAAAGCAATATTCTAGGCTTTTCTCTCTGTATCTCAGGTTAGAGAAAAAGCTGTTCATGGCACCACCATCGTGGGCTCGTCCCAGAATCATGAACCAGAGATGTATGTACACAGGAGCTAAAGGGCAGCTCCCCCTGACATTCATCCGGGTGTGACCCGGGTCAGGGCTTTATCAGAGTCGTGAAAACCACGTGGCCAGCAGTCCCATCTAGTCTTGGAGGTGAGGACCGAAGCTTCTTCGTTGCTGAACCTGTTTAGGCAGGTACACTAGCTCCATAGGTATCCACGTCTCTGGGATGTGTAGGTGGAAAGGCACGTACACTTGCTTCACTTCCCCAAGCCAGACGGCGCCCCAGCCCACCCTTAACACAGCAATGAAGCTCTCATGCCAGCAGAGCAGGAGACTCGGTGAGGGGTGCGGGGTCGGGCCATGGAGCCACCTGGTTGGGGAGAGAGGAGAGAAAGGTTCTGATGCAGGTGACCGGCACCCAGACAGAGGAGGAGGGGATAAGGGAAGGCAGGATGCGAGGTGCTGGGGTCACAGTGGGCGAGGAGGGGCATGGAGTGGGGACCAGGGAGGACAGAGACAATAGGGGAGGGTACCGGGCATGAGCTGGGAGCCCATGCCTGAAGGCTAATTCCTCAGCTCCTGCTGCCCTCCACTGCGACTGCTCCCCGAGGCTAGAGGGCAGCAGCCAGGCGGGGACCCCCCCCACAACCCCATAGGCTCCCACCCCTAGGGCTGTGGGCGGCTGGTCCCCTGCAGGGCCCAGTCCTAGAACAGGACTTAGTGCGCAGCCCGGGCCCCAGGGCGGGCCACCCTGTGACAGGCAACCCCCCGATGGGCAACCCCATGATGGGCAACCCCACTACGAGCAACTCCCCAATGGGCAACCCCATGATGGACAACCCTGTGATGGGCAACCCCACAACAGGCAACCCCGCTACGGGCAATCCAGTGATGAGTAACCCCACCATGGGCAACCCCACGATGCGCAACCCCCCGATGGGCAACCCCATGATGGGCAACCCCGCAACGGGCAACTCCGCTATGGGCAACCCCCCGAAGGGCAACCCCATGATGGGCAACCCCGCGACGGGCAATGCCCCGATGGGCAACCCCGCCATGGGCAACCCCACGACAGGCCACCCCGTGATGGGCAACTCCACCATGGGCAACCCCGCCATGGGCAACCCCGCGACGGGCAACCCCGTGATGAGCAAGGTCAGCACGTACAGAAAGCCCCGCAAACCCCTCAAGGCCTTCGTGCAGGGATCTCTCTGCAGCACGGCCACCACCTGTTACCGCCACGGCGCCTGCAGGGATGGCCCTGAGAACTGCCACCCAAACCCAGCGCCTGGGAGACCACCTCGGGGAAGCACCCACACTGCAAGTACAAGAAGCCAAAGGTTGCTTCTTCCAGTGTGGCCTGTGGCCCCGAGGAAGGGGGCTCGGGGAGATCAAGCTGCTTCCTGCGTCCTTGGACACAGCCCTTTAGCCTTCGGGCCTCCCTCTGTCGTGGTGCGACTCCTCGATGCCACAGGTTACCCCCCTCTGCTGTCTCAGGGCCCTTACTCGGGCAGGGAGGAGCGCTGAGCTCTGGGAGAGCCGGCCCTGCATCTTCCTGTGGCCATCCCCTCGGGACCTCAGGGTCCTGCATCTTCCTGGGGCCGTCCTCCCCGACCTCGGGGTCCTGCATCTTCCTGGGGCTGTCCTCCCCGACCTCAGCCTGGGGGAGCTAGGAGTATGGGTTCCCCCGGGGCCTCGTAACCTCCCCCCCTCACCCCACCGCTGCATCTTTTCACGGCAGCAGGACACAAAGAGGAAAGAAAAGGACAAGGAGGGTAAAGGGTTCACAGGCAGAGCTGTTCCCGTGTGTGAGCCGGAGCCTCCACAGCCCAAGGCGGAGCGGCACCCGGGGAAGAAAGCAGAGCCCCTGAGGCTGGTGACGGTGCAGGTGCGGCCATGGGAGCCCGTGTGAGACAGACCCCGGGGCTTGGGCCTTCCCTGGGGAGGGCGCTGAGCTTCCAGAAGGCTTTAAGTAATAAAAGAGCTGGTTAAGCAGGTTGGTAGCAGGGCTGGCCCTGCACCTGGGTCTCCCTCTTCTAAATACAGTACACTTTGTACTTGCCCCTTGGGCCAGAGAGGAGAGCCTCTGCCAGGGGGAGACGTGGCCAAGAGGTCAGCCATGAGGCCGGAGCCCGAAAGCCCTGAGGAGCCAGCTCCGCGTCAAGGTCATGGCTGGCCGCCAAGCTCCGGGGCGCCGGGGACTTGCTTCCCTCTGGGGGGGCCCCCAGCCCATTGCTCCACAACCTGGGCCAGGCTGCCTTGGGCTACATCCCGTTGGCCTGGAGGTGCGGGGTCAGGGCAGTGTCCCGCTCGGTCCCCTGCTCCGGATCACATTTCCCTTGACCTGCAGGGACTTCCGTGGCCCGGAGCCTGCTGGTCACAAACAGGCTGGTGGCAGCTGCCAGAGCTTCCTTCCTCTGATAACGATCTCTCCTGCCCTGGTGCTTCCCTGGCTCCCCAGGCTGGCAGTGCGCCCGGCTGCAGGGCTCCAGACGTGGAAGTGCCACCTCCCTGGCCCTGCGGCAGCCTCAGACACCCTCTCTGGCTCTCTAGTGGGCAGGACTGAGAAGTGCGGCCTCACCCGGCTCTGCTCTGATGGCGCCCACCCCCCAGCACCCCCAGCCCCCGAGCCCCCGGGGCCTGCCGCCTGACCCGCACCAGCCCCATGCCTACCCTACTACACGGCCGGGTACCTTGTAGGCCACCCCTTCCCAGCTGGGGAGTGTTGTCTTCCTGTCCCCCCCAACCCTCCCCCTACACCGCCCAGGCTCTGCTCCTCACCGGAGTCCCCGTCAGTTCTAGAGCCAGATAAAATTGGGTGTAAATCTTGGTGGGGTAGGTCCTCCCGGCCGTGACCCCGAGCAAACGAAGGCGCTTCTCAGCAGCTGGGTTTCCATACAGCGAAACGGAAGTGATCCCACCAACCCAACAGGACTGCAGGAAGATTTAGAAATGATATTTATGGAGCTTTAATCAGCCCTCGGCACTGGAGGCATCAATAGCGATCACAGTAGTAGCAAATAGTAGCCCAGTCACGTTCACCTGGGCAAACACCCCCATTCCATCTTCCTTGAGGACCTTCTCCTGCTAGAGGACAAGTCTGCAAGCAGAGTCCTGCTGGGTGGGCTGGGTGGTTTGAGAGGAAGAGAGAAGGTAGGGAGGGGATGGTCAAAAGAAAGAGTGGAACATTGAACAATTCGAACAGAGTGTGGGGCCAATATGTCGATGAGTCTTGGAAGTGGAGATGCACTAAATACACCTTGTGGCCAAACGCCAAATGACTGAGTATAAAATCTATCTATGCTGTGCTCATTACACTCTACATTTATCACTCTAAATAGATGGTTTCCACTGAGATGCATAGAAAAGCAAGATACTCAGAGGTATTGATTTTTTCCCTTATTCTTTTTTTTTTTTTTTCCCACAAATCTCTATATACTTGGGATCCCTGGGTGGAGCAGCGGTTTCGCGCCTGCCTTTGGCCCAGGGCGCGATCCTGGAGACCCGGGATCGAATCCCACGTCGGGCTCCCGCTGCATGGAGCCTGCTTCTCCCTCTGCCTATGTCCCTCTCTCTCTCTCTCTGTGTGTGTGTGTGTGTGACTATCATAAATAAATAAAAAATTAAAAAAAATTAAAAAAAAATTAAAAAAACAAATCTCTATATACTCATATAAACATAAATTGTATAAATTGATATTTATCACATACAAATATAAATTACATATATTGGTATTTTTCTTATGGATATTATGGTTTTGAAGGCATCTTTCTCACAAAATTTTGAAATGGCTAAAATGATGCTTTTAATGCATCCTCTCAAAATGGGAAGAATTTCTAAATAAAACTTTTACTTGGGGGATGCCTGGGTGGCTCAGCGGTTGAACGTCTGCCTTTGGCTCAGGTGTGATCCTTGGGTCGGGGATCGAGTCCCATTCGGGCTCCCTGCAAGGAACCTGCATCTCCCTCTGCCTGTGTCTCTGCCTCTCTCTGTGTGTCTCTCATGAATAAGTAAGTAAAATCTTTAAAAAAAAAACTTTTTCTTGAAAGATTCATGACCTAAATAGTTATTAATAAGTAAAAATTCAGCATAATTCAAAAGCAATCTGTGGTGATGGAGTTCAGAATAGTGGTATCTTGAGGAGCTCTAACTGGGAAGGGGTAAGAGGTAAGCTGGAAATGTTCTTTCTTGGTCTGGATATGTTTACTTTGTGAAAACTCACTGAGCTGTACACTTAAGATTTGTGTACTTGACTATATGTAAGTCATACCTCAACAAAAGAATCCTCCTGAATGTATAGTTCTTAAGAATTATTTTACTTAACATGATAAATGCTAATCTATGTTTGCATCTATGTTTACATCATATGATTGAATATATAGATAGAATTAAATATAGATACATAAATAAATATATAAAATTAAAATATAATCTAATTTCTGTTGTTATGCTTTATACTATTTTTTTTAATTTAACAGTACTTTAAACTATTCATTAAATTGTTATAAATACTTTTGGCTCAAAAAGTATATAAGGTTCTTCTTAAAGTTATCCAGGCTAGGGCAGTCCAGGTGGCTCAGCAATTTAGCGCTGCCTCAGCCCAGGGCCTGATCCTGGGGACCCGGGATCGAATCCCATGTCCGTCTCCCTGTGTGGAGCCTGCTTTTCCCTCTGCCTCTCTCTTTCTCTATCTCTCATGAATAAATAAATAAAATCCTTTAAAAAAGGTTTTCCAGGCTAATACACTATCACTTATTACATATTAACTATCAACTAATTTTCTTATTTTATGTGAAAATTCATCATCATTTTATGCATAATATAAGCCTTGACAACCACTAATTATTAGGGCATTTTCTTAAAATAATAAATGTGCATTTATACTTTTACTGACTGATTGAATTTCAACATTTCAAAAAGCTCATAAGGAAAATTTCACTCCCAAGTTACACCTAGAATGCTAACATTCGAAAGTGATTAAGATATTAAAAATGAATCAAAATAACTTGCATTGTTCTCATTACTGATGCTTTAGCTGATTAGGTTTGACAGTCAACCATTCTTTCACATGACCTTGCCACAGCTGAGTTGAGAGATGCCAAGAATAGTGGTGAAATAAGCATTTGGCTATTCAGCTTTCCAAAAGTCAAAGGTGAGATCTGAAGTGAATAACAGGTTTGGGCCGATTACCAAGGCTGGCAGAAGCTTGATGCATTCCTACCTGAAACTGGAAGGATGGAGAAAGGAAGCTGATTAGTTATTTAATATTTCTGTTTCTGGGTGTGGGAGCTTCGAGCGGGGAAGAGAGCATACAGAGGAACACCTCCAGCCTTGTGGAGGTGGCTTTAAAGAAAATTGTTTCAACCTAGGCCTAAGGAGCAGAAATGGAGTCCAGTATGGGGCATCTGGGTGGCTCTGTCGGTTAAGCATCCAACTCGATTTCTGCTCAGGTCATGATCTCAGGGTCATAAGATGAAGTCCCCCATCAGGCTCCTCACTGGGCATGGAGTCAGCTTAAGATTCTCTTTCTCCCTCTCCCTCTGCGCTCCCACCCGCTCGCATATGCACATTCTCTAAGATAGGAAGAAAAAAAAGGAAAGAAACAAAGAAACAAAGAAACAAAGAAAGAAACAAAGAAATAAAGAAAGAAGAAAGAGAAATGGAGTCCCATAAAGAACATAACCCAAGAACTGGTGCTAGAGCTCACTTGCTTTCCTACAGGCCTTTCACATGACCCTGGTTTCCCAAAGTCTCCATACTCTGAAGTAAATGACCCATAGACACTGTGAAGAGGGCCAACTGAGTCAATGTGAAGACAAGTGTCCTGATCGCAAGGGCAGAATGTGGGAAGAGGAGATGCCCTTGAGATGAGGACCCTTCTCTACACATTGATTCACAGTGTCGGTGGCCCTCTTCATAGTATCTACAGCCGTAGGGGATAACCCTAGTGCTAGGGCAGCAGAAAACATACCAACAGCAATAAAGTCCAGCCTTTCCTTTGGGAGAGCCTAGGCCCATTATTATGCTTCTGCGTGACTGAGCTTCCAAAAGGACTTTGAAGACTTTAGAGTCTCACTCTTTCAAAGGTCTCCTCCTACCCTCATCCCACCACGGAAGGTAGAAAGAAGGTAAGGCTCTGGCCAGGTGTTTACCTATGTAGGACTCCAAAGCCAGTCAGCCTGGGAGCATGCATGAAGCCAGAGGAGTATGAGGAAACATCACTAACGGGGCCTTGTAGGAAGCTCATAGGTCTCAAGAGGGGAGGTACAGAAAGATGTGTCCTCATAAAGGAAATACATATTATGATAGAAAATCCTCAAAAAAAAAAAAAAGAAAGAAAGAAAGAAAATCCTCTTGACAGGGAGATCAGAATTTCCTCATCTCTATAAAGGTAACCTACTTCATAGGAGTATTAGGTAGATTAAATGTGACAACATATTTAAAGCACTTAGTACAGTGGCTGGCATGTAGAAAAAGTTCAGGAGGTGTTATCATATTTATTACTGTGGTGTCAAATGTTGGGTCGCCAAACCTGTGATGGATGGAACAGGCCTGACTTCCGTGACAGAAAAACAAAGGGTTTAAACAGAGTCCAAAAAAAAAAAAAAAAAAACAGAAGCCAAACTCCTCCTTAGCCTCCCTTTGCCAAAAGTAGTTCCTAGCCAACAATGGATAAAATAAAGCTCAAGGTCAGACAAAGAGGACCATGTGCATTATCTGTCTAGGTAAAGCAATTTGGAGTGGGGTGGGGTAGGGGGTAATGCTTTTAACTGGAGCAAAAATGGGGTGGGAGGGGGCTGCTAAATGGAGTATTTTTGTTAAGACTATTTAAGGGTTGTTGTTTTGTCTTGTTTTCCCAGCTCTACCCTCCATGAATCAAAAGATATAAAAAAGGCAGAGGATTTAGGGTCAGTAACTTTTGAGAGTGTCCTCCAGGCCAGCTCCTCTCCAAAGGGTTCAAGTATCGCAGCAGTTAATGGAGGGAAGTTTCTAGAGACATTTCTAGCCTCCCCTCCTGAGACATTTAAATCAGTCCTCGGGTGAGTTTATTATGCCCTTGCCTCCATCATGGACCTCTTACATTTTTCCCACTCTCGGATTCAGATCCCTCTCCTACTTTGTCTTCCATTACTCAAAACTGCCACCAGTGCCCATAGCTCGTGGTCTTCTCCGGCTCTCCAGCGGACTGCTTGCAGGGGGAAAGCACCAGAGCTGTCACTTTCTACAGTCTCCACACAGAAACTTAGTTGAGCTTACACATTTAAAGCATAAACTGACCTGGTGTAAATTAGTACAGATTCCTGCTCGGGCCACGGTATTTAGCACAACAGAGATCTACACGTCTGCAAAGCTTTAGACTCTTTAGGCAGATATTCATAAAATTAAAATGTTACAAGAGACTGTATCCACTGACCTCAGAGGTCATCTAGTCCAGCCTTCCCCATTTTGCAAATGAGAAAAGTAAGACCCAGAGGACTTAAACATCTTGTCCAAAAACACATGGCTAGTTTAAGTAAGTACTCAGGTTTCTTGAAACAGTCCAGTGATATTTCCAAACTAACATCCTAACTAATTGTCCCAGATGGATCTCAGACATTTTCCAAGGTCAAATTCACTATCCATGGGTTGGCAAGTCAATCTACAAATGGGCAGATTCCCGGACTTGAGACAAAGCATGTTCATCCAAGAGTGTTTAGTGT